GTAAACAAACAAAGCAAAGACAAAGCAAAACAAATACAAAAACAAAAGCAACACCAACATTCTTTGATAAATTTCGTGAGGAGAAAACATTTGAACTAATGCAAAGTAACGTCCTATTTCCTTATGAATTTCCCGGAAGCACCCAAATGAACCATTCTTAATAGTTTTGTTAGCCATTTTCCTGTTAGGGGTGCACCCTGGTAAATAGGCACAGGAGCCGTCCGCCGAGCTCATTAATAAATTTATACGCAAAATATTCTTTATTAGAGGGTCCTGAGAGCCATGGAACTGAGGAATTGAAGAAATATGGCACTGAACCTCTGGCCCGGACTCAGGGCTTCCAGTTCTGAGCAATTTGGATGCAGTGGGGTCCGAAAGTGGTACTATTTAGCCGTTTCGCAGAGGGATGCATTTTCAAAATGGCTATACTTTTCCTGGCAGTGAAATTTCCTTTATTTAAGGGGTGGTCTGCTTTAGGTGAGAATTTCTCAAAAATTTATCGGTCTACCTACCAAAAATTGAAAGGAAAATGAAAGAGGACATGTCGAACATCATTTTTCTGTGCAGCCTGAAAACTTGTGAGAGTTGTGAGTATGTTTTAAATATTTGTGAAGTATGGAGATTTATCACTGCTGTCTATGGGAATTTATTTGCTGCGGTGCACCCTTAGACGTTACAGTGTCACATAAAATGCACTTACTATACATTTGTATAGTGCGTCCTCTATCGCTGAAGGTTTGTGCTCCTCCTGGATACAAGTTGCCCAGGAAACGAAAAGCCAGCACAATAAATGACGATTTTTTCTCAGAAATAAAAAATCCCTATCGAGATAGACTAGGCTGTCAAAACTTCAGTCGGCACACGACCGACTGCGCAGCCTGTGTGCTCAGTCGTCTTTCGTCAAAATATAGAAGTCGTGATGGGCTTGTCACCATGAATCTACGCCATCATGGAGACTGGACAAGCGATCAGAGATGTGTCGATCTGTCCCCCATCAACGCCCCAGACAAAAGCTAGAAGATGACTTTGTGAGATTACTTTCTCTTAATTAAAACAAACTTACAACCGGCAGCAGAAACTGTCGGGTGGGAACGACCATCGTTTGGCCACAATACGAATGCAGCCAATTGAAGAAAATTCATGTAAGGAGGTTCCAAGGAATATAATCGGTATAATTATATTAAATGCACTGTGAGCAGCAGCGTAGCAAGACTTCTCACTGCCAGAGGGGGATTAACATGGGGGAACTGGATGTTACAGTGGGGGGAGCAAGTTCCAAAATTTTCTTAATACTATTTCCTATCTGTTCCTTTTTCAGGAGGCCAACAGAAGTACGGGAGGCATTCCCCCTCCCTTAAGCCCGCCCTTCCTTGGCTAGGCTATGCAACTGACTGTGAAGCACTGGTGGGGAAGTATCAGACTTATTGCAATTCCTCCACTGAAGAGGTGTCAACATCTCAGTTTATAAAAAAAGCTCGGTCGAGGGAGTCAGAACTGTTCAGTCAGTTATACTTGAAATCCCCACTCTCTTGCGATACTGAACGAACGCATGTAGACAGTGCTTTCCTAACCCATTGCAAAATAGAACGTTTATCCCTTGTAGATTTGTTGATTTGGTAATACCTGTTCTTAAATTATTCAGTGTTTTTCATAATCTAATTTCACCGCCCCGATTTTGCTTTGTTTGCCGTCCCGATTTTCATATTATCACCGTCACTTTTTTGAAAATGTGCATCCTGTTCTACTCTGCCACCCCTGGGCTTTGTTGCTGATTAGGATTAGACGGAATATCCTTGTAAAATTAAAAGACGATTGTTTTTGGCGTTTTGCAGTTGCATGCACGTTTATAGTTGACATGGACTTACTGCTTCTCCCAATGCCGTCTGTTTGCGGACAGGTTTACCGATGAACGCCATTGTCTTCAGTTGTATTTTATGTCGATGTCTGCAGCAGCAATTTCCAATTCACAAAAGCTCACTGGTAGACAAGGAAAATCAAGCAGAGCTTCACCTGACTTCGGGAGACTGGTTGCCTCATCTCAAGCTTAGAATTCTGCCCACGGAAACGGCGTTACGGCAACGGGAACAAACGCTCGCGTCGATAACGTAACAATGCACCACAACAGAGGAGAATGACGTCACAGATACGCGTTATGGAGCGTGCGTTGACGTGGGCGGGATTAGGCCATTATTCTGAACACGTGGGTACTTTTTCTTGAGGGGGGCATCCTTCCATTCTACGCACGCTTTCAACAAAGACGGGTGAGGAACTTACAAAGGAAGTTTTAATTTGGAATTTGTAGTTTCAGTTTAATTGCCTACTGAAAAAGGAAGCTTTCACCCTCAATTATATGAAACGAAATGCGTTCCACCTGATAATAATTACTACATGAGGCTTACCACTTTTATTTCAAATTCCGATAAGGTCAATCTATAGAAATTATACGACTTAATACAGGCACTTTTCCACTCAGCAATTACCAAGTTACAAGATCAACGAAATAACAATATTAAATACAGTTTGAAGACTTATTTTCATTTAAAAATAATTTCTTATAGTTTTATCATATAATATTGTATAGCTTACTATTTTCGTTTGAAAATGGCGAACTCAATGAGTTTTTATTGTTTTAAATTTAATATCTGTGTTCGTTACCATTGCTAACCAACCTAAATTTGATCATAAATCTGCAGGTTTTTAAACATTCCTAATGTAAATTTCCATTTACCTTATATTACGTGAACACCATTGTGATTTTCATCAAGAAAGAGCAACCTTAATCAGACACATGCACCAATAACAGAAAAACAATCTAATCAAAACCTTGATCGTAGTAATTGCGCCACAGAAATGACAAACAACAAATAAGCGAGTAAAGCGAGATACATCTACAATCACAGGGATGCAAATATTCATGATCCCCACTCACCAGACAGCAAACCAAACCCTCAAGTCGCACTTTGGCCTTGTCCTAAATTTGAAACATGCTCATCATTTTGTTTACACAATGCCAGCAGCATAGGTTGGTACAGGTGAGGTAATTTAAACCTATCACTACAACAAAGTAATAAACAAACAAAGCAAAGACAAAGCAAAACTAATACAAAAAACAAAAGCAACACCAACATTCTTTTACAGCCATGAAGGACAGGCAATTTGTTTCTCAAGCAAATAATCTAAAGGCAGATATTCTGCTTATAACTCTAGCGACCCATGCCACTCTTACAATTATACACGACCCACCTTGACTGTAACTCTCCCATTTAAAATACTTGCATATACTGGTGTGAAGTTATACCAATTATTACTTAAATGTGTATTATGTAATGACAATCAGCAGCCTACTGGCAGAGATTCCTGACAGTTACACGATGATAAAGTGATTCACAAACAAGCAGGGTATAATGCCTGACTAGGTTTGGGAGCAAAACATAGGAAAAGACTGACTGGGGTGGGATCGAACCTCTGACCTCGAGAAGACAACACAATGTGTCGAAAACAACCGTGTTGCTAGGCCCCACGTTTGCCTCTTCTCAGTTATTGATCTTGGGGGCGCTAATTAAGTCACAAGAACAAGGCTAAGGCACCTTTGCAGGTGGAGCACAGCTGTGTAGCAACCCATAGGTCCCAGGTTCAACCCCTACTCCTGTCACTTCACTGTACTTGCAGATTATTCCAATCAAGAAATAATAGCCAGTAGATACTTGATGACAACTAGTAGTGTAATCTGCAGTTTATACACAGGATTCTTGGATTTCATCATTACTGACATGAACTAAAATGATATGTATGATGAAATAAATTACCCTTTGCTGGAACTGTCAAATTCATTGTTGCAATGCCCTCAAATAATACAACTGCCAGTGACATAAAATCTTACAGTCTCATTCAAAATATTGCGGGTAGCTTTTGGTATTACTTAAATAGTTTTCAAGAACTAGAGTTTATCTCCAAACTGTGTATTTGAGACACAAATTCTCTACAGTAAACTTAATCAAATGGTGTACTCAACCTTGCGTGTCTCGTTTTCATTGCCGTCGCATTTCATTTAGACACCCAAGCAAGAATGACACGTGTAATTTCGAGGAGAGTCTCGGTTTTGAGCACGTCCCACTTTCTTTCTGCAGCTCCCGTTATTTTATGCTTCTGAAGCAGGTACGACTTGGAAAAAAGACTTGGCTACAAAACTTGAAAACTGCTAAGGAGACTTATAACAACTCTGAAGGGAGAAACATTACAGATGCATGCGTATGAAGATGATTCCAGAGCTCCACGGAGGTCTACCCGGGCAAACCGTTCGTATAGTGGTTTTGGCTCCAAGGAATTTAACTCACCGCGGTGCTGCGGTCAAAACCCCTTCAAGACCATCACAAGACCTCCAGTCTGAAATCAAAGTGACAAACTATGCACAAAGAGCTGGAACGACAACGTTCCCTTGTCACTGCTCACCCTGTTTACATGCCGGTGGTCTTAATTGTGTCTGGTCTTGACCGCAACACCCCAAGGCAGACCTGCCAGATGCTACTGTGGGTTATCCTACTACAACGCTGGGGCTTACTGCTTGAAGGATAGCTATTACCTTGTCATTTCTTCTTCTAAAACCGTAATACTGCTGGGTAGTGGGTACAACTCACAGTGTTTTTCCCATTATACTTCTGTCTCGTCCTTCTCCTGGTTCCTTAATTTTTAGCACAGGTGGGCACCTTTTTTTAAAAAAAAACTTGATGATTCCTATAACATCATAATTAAGCTGTGACTATGCAAGCAGCTGTGGACACTGGCTTCTATTGATTTGTGCATTATTCCATGTCACAGCCGGAATGTGCAGGTGTAGCCGTTAGAATGGACTGGCTTCAATGCATCATGCCAGAGTGAATGTAGTTTCTAAGCATTGAGCAATACTGTTATTAAACTGTGCACAGCCCGAACTTGTTACTCTAGAAATTTCTTTCTTCATTGGAGGTTCTCTACCGAGATAGTGGTGACAAAAACATGTCTTTTTAAAAAATGTTTCCCTTGAGTTGAGAGCTTGAAACGAGTTGGGTCAGAAACAAAAACCACAGAATTAAAGAGGGAACGGGTGTGCTCATCTCGCAGTGACCATGAATCGGTTTAACATCTTGCAAACAGGAGAGCAGCTGCACTCAAGAGGATGGACAGCAAGCCAGAGACTGTGGGAAAAGAAGCGGGAAGACATCAGATAATAAGGTCAGGAACACTTCAAGTCTGAGAAACATCTGACTACTAGTACGCAAATGGTGATTCACATTCTTGCAATGGTAAGAAATTTCACGAGGTGACAGATGAAATATTCCATTCCACGAGGCAAATTGCAACATTCAGGCAAATGTGAAATATTCATTGTTTTATGCAACACCTGCATTAAATCCTCTTGTTGAGAACAAACGGTCCTCACATATTTACATCTGCCATTTTGCGAAACAGATATGCATGCGAAGTGTAGCCCAGTGGTAGTGCTAGACTGGTTCTCGTCCCTGCATTACTTTCCTCTTTCTTACTTGGAATGAAATACCTTTATGTAGGAACTAGTCAAGTGAAGTTCCATTCAACAGGTACCATTGAATAGAACAAATAATTCAGTGACAAGTGATTAACGATCAACCAATTCGATCTTGGGGATTTATGCAGGTATTGTATGTCTTTTATAGAATGGCAGGTTCCATGCACTGTGCACCACATTAAAGTAAAATGGTGACATGAATGAGTTGTAACTCTGCAATAGATCAATATTGCTACAGAGGTTAAGAAAGCACTATCACACAGTCAATGAAAAAGCACCAACCCATTACTCTGAAAATTGATACCTTGTAAAAAGTATTCCTCAATTCTTCCTCTCTCACTGTGAGACTAAACCTGACACTTCAACATTTCAGTATCATTTACTTCAAGTATCAGTGATTTCACTGTCTCCTAATTCTGGTCAGGCCCTACTTCTGCAGCACAAGGATGAGAACCGTCTCTCTGGCAAGGTCTGGTGGCACGATCCCTGAGTTTATTGTGCCATGTTTATCCAGACATCCAGGCATAAAAATCAAACGCATGATCCCGGCTGAAAACACGGGTGAACAAACCTGGTTGGGTTGCTGAGTTCGGCTTGGTAGGTGGCGGCTGGGTGGGGGACCTTGTAGGCGGGCCTGGTTCTGAAAGGAAGAAAGAACAAAACGCGTCTCACCAAGAAACTGATCAATCCTCAGGGTTTCAAGAGCTCCTTCAAATTAAGCTACTCAGTTGCAAATCCTTTCACTTGGTAGGCCTACCGTTCCGAACACTCCCAGTTTCAAAACCTGCCACTGAGAGAAATAAGAGCTTGATAAAGAACGGATTCCACACACAACAGACAGCCGTGACACTGAGTTAAAAGTTAAAAACAAGTTTTTGAAATTCCCTGCAGTGTGTCAGGAGCTCAAGTGTGACCCCAAGGCTTCGTTTTAAAACTGTAAACAGTCATAAATAAGTCTGAGAGCTTATTTAGTTGAGTGCCCATTATGGTTTTTAAAAGAACTTGGTTGTAAATCCTTTCCCAGTTTTTAAGTTTCTTCTCCTACTTTTATCGAATTTAACGATCATACGTAAAAATCAGAGACCTAGTGTGAGACGGGCATGCACAATGCAATCAAATAAGTCTGCACAGAGCCACACGTTCACTCTCCATTGATACAGCTGCATTCTGCATCTCATATCGCATCGTGCTTGTTGTATGCGCCAATTGTCAGTGAAGGAGTTTTTAGTGCTGTATGTAAGAGACACGTAAGTCTCAGAAATGGCTAGAGGGTAGTTTCTCACTAAATTAGAGAAAATTGATGAACAGAAATCACTGGAAAAAACTATCATTTTCAACTCCGATTTGCATGAAAAAAAGTATTTGTGATGTGAATGAAAAAAAGCTGAGTGGTTTTTATAGAAGTATGATTAACACCTGCTGGGGCCTGGCGCCAATAGGCCTCAAGCTGGACCGAGAGAAGGCACGATTTTCTTAGCAACGGAGGCTCGTTTGGTTGGAAATGAACTTCGCTGGTTCACAAACGACTAAGAAATGCACACGTAACAGTCACGTCACTACCAACAAATTGAACACTCCCTACCGACGCTTCTCTATCCGACCGATGAGGGGGTGTTTCTGCTCAAGGCAGATAAAAGACCTCGCCTTCAGCGTGCTGCATTATCATCCCCAGGCTCGTATCCAGTTTGAAACTTACTTTGTCACTGAAACCACTCATGCTTTTAATTCCCTTATATATGAAATGGAAAGTTTCCTACGTTTTCGGACTCTGCAGATGTAGTTGGCTCCGAGGTTACAATTGACATCGGCCCATTCACCGCTCATCAGATCCATTTGGACACACTTGTTGTTTTCATTTTCATCATCAGATGGTTCATTGGCCTGCCAGTTGGCATAGTCCATGAGACTTAGATCAGACCAGGAATTGAAACCTGATTGAATTAAAAACAAAAAATCCACAACATCAAATCCATTCAACAAGTTTCATGTTGCATGGACTTCAAGCCCTGTTTTTTCTACCAGTTAAGGGGGGTTAAGGCCTTTTACTGGAGCTATAAGACTCCAAAGCCTTTTATGCCTCTTTGGAGTCCTATGGACTTATTTTCACTGGTTCAGAACAATCACCTGACCAGGCGATAAAAACATATATTACCCTCATCCGTGTGCATATCACATCGTGATGTCATGGACTAGTCCCCCGCCCCATTCATTTAAACCATGATACAGAGACCATTTAGTATACTACTACAAAGAAGTACTTGAATTCCTCAGGTACCTCTGCTACTTTCACCTACAAGTTGATTATAGTCAACTGCAGTGGGAGTAGCCAATCCGCTGTGATCAGCTGTTGCTGTTGGAGTGTGGTAAGTTTTTGAAAACATTTTCAGTTTGTTTTGAAGCTTGTTCCTCCTTATGAGTTTTTAAATATGCTGTCTGCTGAGATTGGAGACGTGCAGAATCCCCCCCCCCCCCAAAAAAAGTCTTTCAAGATGCACAGATATATCTTTTGGGCAAGACTTGTACGTGTGCGGTCCAACATACTCCACTCAAAAAGTTAAGGACCGCATTTTATTTTGTGTATCCTTTACTGCTGAAAATATGCATTTGATGTTTTATAACATTTTTTTATTTTTTTATTCCAATGAGAACACCATCTAAACAAACAAAAAATGAAAGAACTAGATCCCAATCAGTGCTTGGGAAAAAAGTCACAAGTTAAAACAAAAGTGGTCCTCAACCTTTTTGGAGTAGTGTAGTTAAACCAATTTTGTGATGAACTGTACACCTCTCTTTCCTGCAATGAACCAAGATATCTATTCCACTGAAATTCGAGACACTTCAGGTGAGGAAAATATGGAAAGAGATTCAAGAGTGGAGTTTAACAAAACAGTTGATTTACAACTGTGAAGTGGGACATGATGTATTTACCACCCTTGTCTTTGCCTCAGGTGCTTATAGTCCCTCGGGTACTGGAACATCATATTTATCTAGCTCCCACATCACGGCAGTCTGTAATTGTCAACCATTTGCGTTCAGCGTTCCTTAGGCTCACAACTTATTCCCTTCCCAGGAACATATTGTGAATTAACTTCCTATATTTACTTGCACGCGTGCCCCAAGCCCCACTCCCCTGGGCTCTGCACTGTCACAGATCCCATTACTCACGCGTGCTGTCGCGTCTCATGCCCAGCCAGATCTTGGTGTTAATCTCCCCGAAGACTTTCTTGGCCTCCGCCAGGATGAAGTCATTCTCTGCCTGGCTGTGCACGCTGGGCAGGACCCCTCCGTTGTGCTTCGTGGAGCAGGTGTAGTCGCCGCTGTCGTACTGTATCTGCGAGGGGGTGTCGAAGACCACGCAGTAATCCGTGCCGGGGAGTTCCACATAGTCACCAGAGCAGACCCCTCCCCTAAGGCCTGGCTTTTCAGGGATTTGAGCTGATTGAGGGAAAAATCGTACACATCTTTTGATAGCTCCTGCAGGCGTGGATCATCAGTAACATTGCCATTTGGATTTATTTCACTGAACTGTAGCTACACCTATACACAGCGCCATGTTTGAGTACAGCGTCAAATGTCACTCATGTTCCTAGAAGAACTTGGGGATTTGGACCAAGAGGAAGCACGAAAATGTAGAACTGAGTTTTCAATCAATTTTTAGTCAAATTAGAGATGTACGTGCTTTTTGTGCATTTATTTCTGACACACATAACAGGAAATTTTTACAACTCTGTGGAATCGATATATGGTGGAGATGACACTATCCGGCATTAAAGAAAAACCCAGCGAGATGAGAGCCGTCTATTCTACCCTTGGCTTCAAGTGGTTTGGAAATACAAGAGAGACTCCAACTCACTTGGATATTCACAATAGTAGTACTTAATGGTATCGCATCCACGGACTGCCCAGTAGCCAGCTCGAGTCAGAACGACACAATCGCCATTATTATTGTTCGGTTCATTTGGGCCCCACTTGGTGAATTGCAGTGGGTAATTGTCGATCCACTCAAATACTCCAGTCGCCTTTCGGAAACCAAGCAAAAATATGAAACTGAAACAAGTCCGATTAGAATTTGAAAGAAGAGACACACTGGCGCCTCCTAGAGACTCCTTTCTTTTGTGCAGTGCTGTTTTTCAGAGCATCGGAGGCCAGGCCTTCAATTAAAAATTCCTGAATTCCAATTTCCAATCTGATCAGACATTTTTGGTGATCTATAAGCTAGTTTCAGAAAAAAACAAATCAAGAAGTTGTTTGTTGTGGATAAGTAGGGTAACCACTACTCTTTGGCTTCTTTAGTGAATGAGTTGTTACACCCTGACAACAAATTCAAGCATTTCTGAGACCCAATCCACCTGTGCATACACTGCTGTGTCCTTGAGATCATACCCTGCTACTGAAAAGCTTATTGTCAGGATCTGCTAAGTATCAATATTCATCAGAAGAAACTCCAGACGGTTAGGTTTTTTGTTCTCATCTGTCGCTCAAAGTGACAACATGGGCTATGCAAGCTGTGAGGTTCAATTTGAATCTCCATGCACAGCATACAAACTTGGGAAGTCAAAGCTAATGCACCGCAGGTACACCCCGAGGTGTTTGCATCTTTGTCATAACAATCTTACGATTCTGCAACCCATGTGAAATGTCGACACGGCACATTGCAAAATGCAGAGCCCCCAAAAGTTTGGAGATCCAAGCCAAGTGAGGGCAGGCTTCGGCATCCAATTAATCGGTACTCACTGTATTGCGACGCATACCAATCCAGGCCTCCGCTGATTCGTCAAAATCATCCTGATACAGCAAGGACGTGAGCATTGCCGCTTCATATTGGTCAAACAGCGACAGCAAGTCCCCGCCCCTACTCTGGCAGTTCTACTCAAAGACAAAAATGTTTGTTTTGTCAGGCTGAGCAAAACTAAGTATTTGCATAATATGGAAAACAGTCATTCGTTTAAAACAAATTCTGCATTTGATAATGAGCCTGTAATTATGCCCATTACATTTTTGTTCTTTTTTTTTTATTTAAGAAACTGACTTATTTCAGTCTGAATCTTTAACCCAAAATCTTGAACTAGCAGTTTCATGTGGCCTATGCGAACTTCAAAATGAGAACAATTTTGAAAATCAACCTGTCACCATCAAGGGGATCAGCTGCTTAGAACAGCTACCCGGAAGAAATGTGTTTCAAAAGCATGCATCACGCATACAGCTGGTTCGGATAGGAATGTAGCTTTGTAAAAGACCGTCAGGTCAAACTATGCATCGGGTGACAGAGCCGATTCATTAAACAGCACTGATTTGTCACACGCAAATGGATCTGGTGAGAAGAAACTCTCCAGGAAGTGATTGCGAAGCACATCTCGGCAGTCCATCCAAGATGTGTCAGCAAGTCATGATTTGCAAGTCCAAGTCGAGTCACAAGTCAAAGCTGGTATTTACAAGTCAAGTCACGAGTCACAAAAATAGTGACTTGAGTCTGACTCCAGTCCAAGTCACATGACTCAAGTCAGCAACTCTGGTCCATCCAACTGAACTGGCCATCCGGTCTCAAGATTCACGAGGAAAGTGCACTGGTGAGCAAATCCGTTTCTAACAATTTGAAAGTAGTGGTTAACAAATGAGCAAGCTTCAAAGGTAAAGTCATATAAAATCTCATCATCTGTTTCCTATTTTTTCGGTTGAATGTTACTCCTACTGTTGGATGCTATGCGTACAAGGTCTAGCCCTTTCATCAGCACATTGATCGGAAATAGTTGGCCATCTTCCTACCGTTCTAGCATCGCCAAACGAACGCTGGCTTGATGAGTCCATGAGGTAACAGGTATCAAAGTACGGTGTGTATCTGCTGTCAGCACACTGGTTGCCTGGTGGATCGGGGGGAGTGCCCCCAGGAGTGACTGAACAGATAGAAATGGTAACAGAAGAAGGGAAAAAAAAAACAACCCAAAACGGTCAAATCTCCAAGGGACAAAATTCGCAGTTCTTAGATGGGACAGAGAACAAAGAAATGTGGAACGCTGGTAGAAATTGAGGTGCAAAGGTCTGTGGAACGTGCTTCATTTTACACCTTGATTCATGATCTGAAACCGTACGTAACGAGCACACAGTGTCGCCAAGCCACCTGTCGGAGCTGCAGACTAGGGTGGGTTTTTTTAAATTTCTCACAAACATTCAAGAAAAATACAGAAGCTCACACTTTTGTTTATAAAAATACAAATTATTAAAATACGTCACTATTCTTTGTCATTTTGGAAGAATATATCTGGCATTTTCTTTGCAGCCGGGAGAAGTAAATTCTTGTGAGCATACGACATTGTGTTTTTCAACCAATTAAAAACTCTGTTGCATATTGCTTGATTGTTGCTTTCAAGCCAATATATTAACTGGTTACATACTGTCTATCAGGTGAGGGGACTGCACTCACATGCTCAGCAAGTAATGCTCCCATACTGTGTCTACTGATGTGATAAGCCACTAAATACTTATTTTTTTTGGCAAATGATTAATTTGTTGCTTTCAGAATACTGCAATGGATTTGCGAAGGTTAACAGATCTTTTATGTTTTGCAGGTGTTTAAAAAGCCTCTGAACCACACATTCAGTAGGAAAGTGTTTGGATGCAGTGGCGGAGTAGGTTTGGATGAAGACCTGTAGTAGCTTATAGCGAGCAGGAAAATGAACAAACTCGCATTTACCTAATGGAGACTGGCAGAGATAGGCCCGTGGGACACTGCAGGTGACGTCATTCCAGCTACCTGGATCATCAGGATTGTTCATCATCACCACGCAGCTTTGAGAATTCTGTGAATGGTAAAGATTAGATCAATCACTGGATAGTATACATGGCCTCACTGATGAGAAAGATTTGTTTTCAAGATAAAGACATTTCTGGGTATACGGCGGAGTATCTTTCTGCCAAGGACGTAGTAATACTGTATGCGAAGCCTACAGTTTTGAAAACAGATGACCTTATCTTAGGCCGTGTCCAAAACGGGCTCCCAGAGCTTCGGCTAGGTCTATTGTTGAGGCGTCTCCAAGCATTTCCAATGGAGCGAAGACCTAGACCTAGCTCTAGACAAGAGTTTTGGATGCAGCCTTATACTCTGGACAAGCACCATCTCGAGACAGAGGAAAAAAAGGTTAACACGGGCAGTTCACAATAGTGTGCCTCCAAGAGTTTGCAACGCGTTGGCCAATCACAATGCCCAAAATCTGTTGACCCTTTCCAAACGCGCATCGGGTCGACAAACTTCGGGCACTGTGATTGGCCAACGTGTTGCAAACTCTTGGAGGCACACTATTGTGAACCGCACGTATTGAGTCCAACTGGCTTAAAAGTGGCAGCAAAGTGAAATTCCACTTTCAGCATATCCACAACTATTTCAGTCTCAGCCAAGTACTTATTCTAAATCTGGCTAATAAAATGCTTCGTCAGTTTTGTTTGTTTTGCTGGAGCTGAACGAGAATCCCCCGGACCATGTGTTTCAGTGACTTCGCTCCCAGTCTCCAGAGTGCCCAATTCTCTAATCCCGCCTGGTATATGGGTCACTCTATAAATTTGGGGTCTGAAAGTGTGACTTCTTGGTGTCCCTGTTACATCCGACTGTGTACATTGCCATGGAAGTATCTCTGAAATCCAATTCCAATTACATTTGTTTGGCAGGTGTTAAAAAACTTGTTTCGCTATAATCACTCTTGGAAATTAAAGAATGCATTCTAAAATTGCCATCTTATATGTCAGATGTGACAGGGACACACACCAAAATTGGACCCAGAATTTATAGCAGGACCTTTACAGGACTGTTGTTCTCCAGCCCATAACAAAGTGTCACTTATCTCCCACCATATGTCTTAAGAGGTAGTCACCGAACTTCTCTGGCTGCCAAGTTTAAAACATTGAGAGCCACAATGACATTCTGGCATATTCAACCAAGTTTCTTGTTGGAAAAGCGGTCTAAAAATGCCTCCGAGTTTGAACAGAACAGGAACTGGCCTCCATTATGATGCCAAACAAATGCACTAGAGTTGAGCTCTAAAAGTTTGGGTCCTTAAAGTGGGCTCCGAACCCCAGAGAATAGACTTGACTCAAGTTGGGATCGATCCTCTGTGACGTTGTCTGTATTTGTGCTTTGGATATGAAGGCTGTACGCCGTTACTTGCTTTGCGCCCTCTTGTGTCCAAGTATTACTGTGAGTTGAGAAATCCTGACGTGACAAATTTGCCAACGTTTGTACACAGCGAATACGCTCATCTACCAAAAGTGGTAGCGGCCAATCAAATTGCTGGACTTGTTTTTACATCATTCATACCTCTATTATAATGGAAGAGCCTACAAGTCTGACTACTTTGGTGGAAATTCCGTACACATTATCATGTCGTTCATATGCAACTATGAATAACTACATATCACCGACAGGGGTGTCTGATTGGCTTATGCGTCAAGTTGGACTTACTGACTGGCGACACACATTGTACAATCTTTGACGTTGATGCCAATATCGCAGAAAGGCTATCAAATGACAGTGCCTTATAAGAAGATATGCAATTGGTCGAGCACAACAACCGTATACTGTGTACAGTAAAGGAATGGCTGACTGGGAAGCGCAGTCCAACTTGATTCGAATCTACCCAAGGGTGGGCTTTGCCTCCACCCAGTTCAATTTTGGGGGGGGGGGCAAGTTGTTTCTACTGCTCTATAATACTTGAAAGCATCACACATTCCCACCACGCCATTCTCCTTCCTGAAAGCAATGTCTCAGTAGATGAACATTTACAAAGGTCAAGGGTACAGCGTGCCACGTGGCACTGAGCTCGGACGGAGTGTGGGACTTTGCATGGAAGCCATTTACACCAATGTCTTCAACACCATGTCAAGTTTGCTTCTTTTTTTTCCGGTGAAATCTGCCATTGCAAAAGAGAAACTTGAAATAAGAACAATTTGAGGTATAACTAGCCATCGGCCAAGCAAAACAGGCTTACAAGGAAGAGAAACAAAATGGAAAAAGGTTGGCTCTAAATTAGCCCAACCAAGGTATTCATTCTGTGTTCAAGAGGTGTCACTCTTTGAGCCGTGTATGGACCTACGGGGTCAGTGATGGGTATGATGTTGTCTGGCTGGCCTTCCATCCAGGCGGTGTACTCCAACGGTGACTCGTCAGACCAGTGATACTGGTTGTGGATACCGATCCCATTCAAGCCAATCCACATGTCCACACCTGAGAATGCTTTGATGATGGCCGTCATCAGAGCTGATGGAACAAACAAGAAACGCACCAAGAACACTGATTTAAGCATGCAGACCAATATTTCATCTCAACTTTGAAAAATGGAAATCAGGCTTTCACAGGATGATTTAAGCCTGCAAAACACCCAAATTCATCTGCTCATCAGATCATCATATAAACAATACCTTTTTTCCACCATTATCTACATGCACGCATGCCATACAATGATCCGGCAAAGGACGGCCAGTCAAAAGATAATGACAAAATGAAAGCCATCCATTTCCAACTTTTTTTGTTTTGTTCCACTCAGTCAAAAGTATTTGTGATGGAGATTACACCACTGATAAGCCTTGAATGACACCGACCAAAAATGGGTGCCAAGATGAGGAAATCATGACAATTTCCTCCACTTAGAATCTGTCTATGGAGGGTGCCATTTTGAATCATATGGCTTCATTCATGTGAAATCAGACCGCTGCCGACCCCAACTGCAATGACACCGGATATCGTGAAATCAGATGCCAAAGATTGAAAGGTGCTTAATTTATCCTAACACCTCTCTTGTCTACATAGCCAAGGCTCTTTGATCTGGTAGTTGACAAAATAACAAAAGTGTGTGGCAGGCTTCACATCCTCGGTTACTTGCAGTGACTAACTTCTGCAAATACGGGCGTTTCACAATAGTGCGCCTCCAACAGTTTGCAACACGTTGGCCAATCACAGTGTGCAAAATCTGTCGACCCAATGCGCATTTGGAAATGGTCGACAAATTTCACGTGTTGTGATTGGCCAATGCGTTGCAAACTCTTTGGATAGGAACTCTTGTTTTTTTTTCGGGGGGAAGGCAAAAAATTAGGAAATTTTGTCACGTCCTATGACCTGTCTGAGGGTTGAGACTACATTTTGGGGGCTCTTTACACATTTTGGGAAGGAAGGGAAATGAAATAAACCAAGCAATTGCCTACAATTCATTTTAAAAAAAGTTTGACACTATTTTTTTTTGGGGGGGGGCATGGGGAACCAATTAAAGCCCTAAATGCCCCCTGCCTCCTTTGCCTACTTCAGTCACATGACCGGTCATAAGTAGCACAGCGACTAATAACAAAGGAAAACTACTGTCACAGTTGTATGGCTGGCAACTAGGCTTAAGATTTGTGATGCCTAACTTGTAAAGAACTTACAGGGACTCACAGTGGATTACAATGTGAAACCACCAGCGATGCCCATTTGCATTTGTAATCATGCCCCAAAAGTTTATGTTGGCAAGTCTGTGACTGTGCATCTGATATCTAAAAGTAACCCCTTACCTTGCTGTCCGGGATGGCTGACCGTGGCAAGAGTCCAACCCCTCTCTGTTCGACCTGATCTACAATCGTCTCTGGCTGCGATCCAGCCCTTGCCCTCCCCGTCCGAGGCGCCTTTCACGCTGTAGCACATTTTTCCCAGTTTGAAGTAATCGTCGGGGCAGCCGCCACCAGTGGGATAATCGGGAAGGGGGTCCTTGGGGCTGCTTCCCGATTCCTTGCGCTTGCAGACATACTTGAGTTTGTTTCCGCAGGCGCTCGTCCCCCACTCGCCATCTGCGATCAACAAGAAATCAAAACCAATTGGGAAGGCCGGAATGGACAAAAAAATCAATCAACAACTTCTACATCAATCACCATGGGTTCAGGCGAGAGACTGAGCTGAACCGGAGTCTTAGCTTGGACAACTAAATTTCGAACGGATGTGCTGTGGAGGAGAGAGGGTCAAAAATCCTAGGGTATCAGGGCTCCAGGGGGTAAATTCAGATGACTTCAACGAATGTCACTCACCATCTCATACAAAAAAAATATGCATTAAGCCACACATCGTACTGATTACTCTTGCAACTTACACAATCACCGACGCAGAAATTCAACAAACTTGAATCACATTCAACTTGAGTTGAGTAAATTGTCGAGTAAATTGTCTGTGCAGAGTAGATCAATGAAACATGCCCACTGGCATGATAGAAAATAAAACGCCCCTCTTCTTTCAGTGTCGTGCATTTGGCCGATGGTCTCCACATGGACTAGGAAATAAAACCCCAATGATCAACAAAATGGCCAACCATGAATGAAATACACGGAATCAGAGTACAAGTTTAACTTCAAGAAGTGATACGTCATCTTCAGAGTTTTGGACATCAATTTGTTTCAATTTTTGGACTGTCTCTTCCAGAACTCTTTTCCGCGACTGTCTGTGTCATGAAATCTTAGGTGTTGTCAGAGATCATTTCAACGATTTGGGAGTACAAGTAGGCTTTAGGAAAATGCTTTATCAGAGAGGGGTGCCAGATGTTCACAGACTTTTTAGTAGTTAACATTCCAACTGACTTTTTTCTTTAACAATCCTTTCACCAAACAAGATCTAACAGCAAAAAGTCCGAGTGATGGAAATGGGTGCTGAAGAGGCATTATGTTGGGTGTCTTACTTTGCCAGATCAGCAGTTCCGCACATTCTTCCTCATCGGCCAGGTTGACTGGAAGCTGATCGCCAGGGAATTCTGAATACTGATTGATGTCAAATGTTGTTCCATCGCTCCATCTATATGGTTATAAATATTGCAACGTACAAAGTCGGTGATTAGGAAGCAGACATGCTGAGAATAGGTGCTGAGTGAATTGCTAGACTGAGAGCACATATCAACAAAGCCAACTAAAGTGACCGTAAAAACGAAAATTCAAAACTAGTCAGCTTTATCCAAGCATGCCATGGAAAGAGGATGTCGCAGTGGCTATAATGAGATTGGGGAGTGATACATGTAGGATAGGTGGTGCCCTGTGGGCAGCCAAGAGATAGGGTGGGTTGGTGGTATTGTTGGAATCTGATAAAATATCACGTAAACCCATGAGTTGGAATGCAAAATTAAAATGCATGCTTATGATCATTCATGCCATGGAAATTGTTTTTTTTCCTTTTAGCATGTTTAGTTTGTTGTTGCTGTTAGCTGGTGTTGTAATTGGCATTGTTCTGCTGCGGCTACGGATGCTGTTCTGTTGTTACTGTCTACAGCTGAAGCTGCAGGTGTTTTGCTCTTGTTGCTTAATCTACTACCGATGTGCTCTGAATGTGATTATAGCATGCATATAGATGCAGATGTGTAACTCACCCAAAATCACCATTGCCGTATTTCCGCAAGCCAATCCAGTAACTCCTCGCAAAGCCAAAGGACTGCAAGGGGACAAGAAAGAGCGACCCAAAACACCCAGGTGAAGTTGGCCACACACTCAAATCACTATGTATCATACTGAACCCGAACCATTTAGAAAGACAGAGGAGAAATTAAATACTCCACCTCTGGTGGCAAGGGCATGAGCAACCCCCAACCTTTTTCGGTGGTAGCTTTAATTATGAAGGACCTGTGAACACTTGCATGCAATGTCTATCTGTAGAAGCAGGTGATGACCTTATATCAGCTCCGTGCTGGACTGACAGATGTTTGAACAAACAATGTCCCATTGGGTGGCGGCGACTCGATCAAATGCGTGCACGGGGTCACCATCTGTTTGTAGTGTCTTGCCGTTTTGAAAATTCACCGTACACAGAGCCCTTTTGCTGTGAGATAACACCATCTGTGAGTGGTTAATAATGCTTCAGTGGGGAATCAATTGAGGTCTCCACGTACTGTTGGGAAAATCAGCAGCGTTAAGAAGGGAGGGAATACGACAAAAGCTAGTAACTCTGGAGAGCCAGGTGTGCTGCAGTTCCTTTGTGAGGATGGTACTTTTGACCAATCACTGGTCCCCTCCCCTACCCTTCCCCCTAAAAAAGACCCAGAGAAATGTCGACAATTTCTTTTAATGACTCGAGAGTGCCAGCATTTTATGGTCCTGCCACCTCTCTCTGGGGGATGGTCAGGATTCTTCTGCATAGGACCAAGGACAGTCCACTTTAGACAAAAAGCCCCTCTCCTACCCCAGATCTGGATGTAGGCCACTGCCTGACATGGTCCCCACGAAATGTTCCTCCTGGAGCATTCTCCTGCCAAGTCTGCGTGTGAGATTGCCTTCTCTTCCACAATACACAAGTGGGACTGGCCCTTCCGAGGATTAAAAACCCACTCCCAACAAAACTAAAAATGCTCTGATGAATAAATTACTGGCAGTCGCAGGAATGGGCAGACACCACAGATAAAAAACAAGACCATACTAAAACAAACAAACAAACAAACAAACAAACAAACAAACACCCCAACACCCCCAACACACCAACAAACAACCCCAACAAACAAACAAACAAACAAACACCCCAACAAACAAACAAATGAACATGAAGCGCAGAAAGACATCGATAAAAGTCAGATTGGCACTTACTAAGATTCGGACCAAGGACTGCTCTTCTGAGCTATGAATTGATACCAGGTTGCCACCCTTATCTCGGCAAATGTTCTCTGCTTCTCTCCAGGTTGCATCTGCCGTCGCCATTCCAGTAACAGTGCTTGGCAAATAGCAGTCACTTCCAATTTTGATCTCAATGTCTTGACCGGAACACTCTTTTTCAAACGCCAAGAAAAATAAGAGAAACTATTTTAAGGCCCAGCGTAACTGTCTTTTATTTTTAAAATGACACAAGTTTCTTTCAAGACTGGTGTGGGTGCTGGTCTCAAAAAGGTAAACTGATTCGCCCTCGGCTAATACCAACTATCTGCCCCAAGATCATGTTAAATTGTAAACTATGCACTGCAAGGCCATGTGTATAAAGAAGTAGCCCTTGGCTGGGGCCAACTATCTGCCCTTAAATCATATGTTGAAATTGTAACCTATGCAAAGGCCAAGCAGAGAAAGAAATCGCAAGAATGTTCCAGATGGATCCAACCACACAAAAATGAGGGCTAACCATACAAAGAACGGCTGGTGCCCCTAGATCTCAACAACCAAACATTTGCAGCTGGAATGAAAATTCTTTCATCCTGGGCCTCACACAAGACACATCGATGTTTACTCCAAGGACATCGCTGTCACCGTTCAGAGCCTAAGGGTCTCAAGGGGGGGGGGAAGGAATTTAAAACTTGAAAGCAGGAGACTGGGGTGAGATTTAGAACCCCATGGAAATCACTGATATGAACTTAATCATCACATCAGCCTTGCATTTGTGGAAGATTTTGCCTCTCATTAGAAACAAAGAAAAGTACTAGGCAGGCTACAAATGTAAACAAGACAGGATAAATACAAACGAGATGGAACAAAAGCAAGACAAACTTACAAAAAACTGTGACACAAGTTGATGGTATCACAAGTTCTACTTAAACAAACGTAAATTCATAAATAAACGGCACTGACTTACCCCTGCTTGTGTAAGTTTGCTCTGCACAAGAAAACAAATAAAATGCAATTTAATTAATAAAGTTGACTGATGGATAATGGTTTAAGCTGTTTTTGTACGAGGTTTCTGCTCTAACAACACTGAGTATATTCACATTGTATTCTCAGTGTGGTTGGACAGTCATGGGGATAAAAATTCACAAGTTGGCTTGGTTGAGATTTGAACCCAAGACTTCCTGCTCACTCGTGCAAACGTCTGAACCACTCGTTTGATGAGTTGTTAATCTGCCGTGCATACATCAAGGCAGACGTAATGGCCAAAGTTGTTCACGTCAACCAACATCTGCCATGCCAGGCCTTAAAAAAGTACTTATTTACAGAAGAGAAGAAGCCCCTCTACAAATCAACAAAGTATCTTGAAATTCATGTTCATTTTTCTTCCACAAGTAAACTATAGCTGATGTCATCAACAGCTGGGCTTGTCATCAGCAGCTGGGCTTGTTATCAGCAGCTGGGCTTGTTATTAGTAGGGCACTGCTTGTACAATTGGTTTGTCACCCAAATCCCTCCAGTCTAAAGTCAGTCAGGGAAACATTTTACAACAATACAACTGAAAATCATTCCCCCAGTTCAAGAAAAAATGAGTATTTTCACCGAGTTTTCTTAACTGAACTTAAACAAAGGAATGTCCACTCTAGCAACTACTCAATGGTACCGTTAGTGTGAGTCATGGAGTCAGTCCTGGTGGCAAAGTCATCATAGTACACTCACGTTTCGGCATCTTGCAAACAGAGTACAGCGCTTTGAACTGGCAGATTTCATCGCTCCAGGCTCCAGCGCCGGCGGTCGTGATGGACATGGTGACGCAAGTCTCCACCAGTAGGTCCGCTGGGTAGCCATCGGGCTCTCCTCTACTCCAGAAGGCGTAATTAAACTCACTTCCGTCGATCCAACCAAAGGACCCTGTGAATAAGCATGAAAACATTGAGAAATGTGCCAGTCAAACCGATGACCGTTTCCATCCTTCAAATGCCCTTGAACGTCCCTGCACTGCGCATAAATCATCACGCCATGAAAGTAGCACAATTTAAAATCAAACCATAAACCATGATACAAGTTTTGAGCCTCCTTCACATGTAATTGCAAATTTCCCTTTGATGGTGTTTGGGGCCTTTTCAATCTTTCCCTTTGCTCAATAAGGAATGACAGCAAACGAAAGCATCTGTACACACCTGCTACATACTTAACCACTCTGCACTCTGTTGAGCTTTTCACAAATAATGAGTTCATCATGTGCAAGGTGTCCAGACAGACAGACATACACTATATGATTGTAAGAATTTATAGCAGGATGTTCCATATTTCAGTAATTATGCAGTTCAGAAAGCATCTAACTCGCATCATCTAATGCTGGAAAATGGAGGAAAAAAAAATTACAGGCGCAAGCATGGAAGCACATTGAAGAACGGGTAAGTTTTGGGGTCCTTCTTTTTTTCAATTTCTGATTAAAGTTCACTATCACTCACTCCAGTCATTGTTGCCAGTCTGAACGCGTGTCAGTCCAATCCAAACAAAATCACCTCCAGGATACCGGTTGTTTGCTCTGCTGTATACAAATTCATTCTCGGCAGCCGATGTGATGCTTGCTAGCGTGGCACCTTCGTACATCCGCAAACACCTGTGTCGTGAGAAGTTGATGAATTAAGGACCTTGACCTTAAATGGTCTCCCTTAATCCTAAGAGAGGCTTTTTTTGGGGGGGAGGATCACCTCACAGACTAAAAGGTGGATGAATCAGCCCTCTTACAATCTTGGATGTTCCCAATGCCCAAGCTTTACGATACTGTCAAATTCATTCTTACATTGGCCCAAGAAAGCTTAGCTAAATTCAAGATTTTTCTGCAGAGGCTGCCATTTTGGTTAACCGGTGTTCACAGTTCCAGCTGGTAGGATGCGTACGGTCATGGGTACACATGCAAACCTCTTTTTGGAACATGTAATGGGAAACCAATAAGAGTTCACGTCTGTAATGTTGCCGACGACGACTTATGAACTACATGGATCAGAAATGCATGAAAGTGTCAGAGGTTGCCCCACCTGAAGTTGGCCTCGCCCCAATCAGTCACGATGTCAGAGAAATAGTAGCAGTTGGATTCGAAACTTTCCCATCCACTCGGACAGGGATTCCCAGTGTCGGGGTCGGGAGTTGGAAACGGCATGCCTGACGGACGAGCAAAAAAAGAAGTACAGCAGAGCTTTTGAATTGGCTGGTTGGAGTGGTGGTATATTGGACAGGATAAAAAAAGTTCTGTTAACCTTGAAGCCCAGGTCAGCAAAAGATCGGAAATCAAAAAAGATGAAACTTCTGACCAATTATCAAATTTAGTTGAATTTGTTGACTAAACACTTTGTTGCTGCGTAAGGCCACTGATTTGTCACAGCCATTTGAGTGAATATGAAACAAGCTTATTTGTACTCTCAATTTTTTCACCCACCGAGTTAGAGCAGCGCATTAAGCAGGGGTTGATACGAACCGTGCAATACAGTTACATATCACACTATTTGTTGCCATGGACCGGCCTATCAGATTTGAGAATTCAAGTTTGCCTGAAGATAATTGGGGGTAACGCACAAAATACATGTACTGGTACACCCTCAGCCAAATGTACCAATACAAGAGACACCTGGTGTTTAAACTCTCCAGCACTGGATACTGTGAGCTTAATAATCTGACTCTTACCTATCTGATCGTAGCGGCAGAAGTAGGCAGCTGTGTCCGAGCACGTAGTGTCATCCCAGTTGTCCCCATCGATTCGGGTACGGACGCACCCTTCGTTGTCCTGGCCACTAGGTTCATTCAGGCCCCAGTTAGTGTACACAACAGGATAGCCGGTCACCCAACCATACTCACGCTGAACACGAACAACAAAGTGAGATTAAGGACCCCCAAATGAAATCATCCTACAGGCATGTAACAGGGTTTTTTTTTTTAAGTTTTTAATTAAGCTTTATCAAATTTCGATTCCAATGTTAGTAATAAAAGTTCTTTCAAATTCATTAGTGGAGTTAATATCTACAGGTGGTTTTCTCAACATGTTGACTGCCGACAAATAGACAAATCCGATGAGATGCCATTCCGAGGGGCCATTTACACTGTTGCAGTTTTCCCAACCTGTACTGAATTCTGCCACTACGGGTTTACGTGTACTCTTAGGAAATGAAAGGTTATTGTAACGTAAATTGAATACACTGGCATCACCGAAAATCACTTCAAATACGCTGCTGGCAGTTTGGAGAACAGACATCTGTAAAATGCTCATGTTTAAACAGACACCTGAACGATACCCATTTACCTACGGCATATGATGGGAATGCCCTTTTGAAATTGTGTGCGGCAGTCAACATGCTGACACACTTCCACCCTGCATTCTCAACAACCTCCGGGTTGAAATTCAAGAGGGTTGGGCAGAATATGGGTGGACTTGTACCAGCAAAAGCAATTTTCAGAGAAGTCCAAGTACAGCTTCAAATTGACATTAAATGTGGTCTGCAGAGACTGTTTTGCTCTGCACAGAGAAAAAAAGCCAATTTGGCATCCTGGATTTTTGTTGTTTCAGTGGTCTGCTTTAGGGAAACACTCACATCCGTTGCCTTCATTCCAATCCAAGCATAATTTTGTCCCAAGGCATACAGCATAGTGTCCAGGACAGCTGACTCATAACCGTCCAGCACCATGGCCAGATTAATCTGAGGGCCTTGCCCTGGGGGGGGTGACATTGCGCTGCAGGCCGCTTCAGCCTCGTCGAACGTAGATGGTAGGCTGGTGAAGATGGCGAAGCAGGCCGAGTCACCAACTGCATAGAAATCATCCCTGCATCTGCGTGCTGGTGGCACCTGAGTGCCATCGTAAATTGGATCTACATCAAGGCAAGAGAAACTCAAAACTCGAGAAAGGCGAACTCACTTTGCAAGGGCAAACTCTTGGAGGTGCACTATTGTGAACTGCCCCCGTATTGGAAGTTTCAAATGGGATGCAACTGGTTCCAATTGCTTTGCTTTAATTCAGCTTGTTTCCCCCATCAAATGGATTTTTCAAATGAGACTCAGTTGGTTTGAATTGGTCTTGAAATGGTTTCAATTGGCTCTTTGATTGGTTACAATTGGACTGTGAATTGGCTGCCTCAAATGGTGTCATTTGGTTTGAAATGGTCCAACTGAGAAAAGGTCCGAACTTACTATTCAAACCAATTGAACCCAATCGATTCCAAGCAAAAGCGAATGGTTTTGGAATTGGTGATTACATTGGTCTGTGGACTGGATCCAATGGGTAAGTGAATTGGCGTCAATAGGTGAATGAATTGGACATTTTCCAGTAGGGATGCCAACACCAACTGAACAGCACTAACTGCTCTATTGAATACTGCGCTCAACGGTACGGGACAATCGCCAGTGAAGTGTTTTCCCAATTCCCTCACTCCAAGCTCCTAGAGCTGTATCGAGAGTGACATGCCAGCTTCAGACCTTGGAACCAACATGGCTGCTCATTACGTGTGCAGTACAGTATGTAGCTACTGTGTGCTGATTGTAAATGGGCGCAGATGCATAATCCACCATGTTGGCTCCAACAATTGAGACACTCATGTCGCAACCCTCTCTATAAGCAGCTCGTCTCCAGGTTCCCTATGTCGGAAAGGCTCAGCTGCAAATGAACACTGCTCCTAGACGCCAAAGGGAATTTGGTGGACATGCAGACAGCCAGGAAACCCACCTGGATCCATGCTGCAGATGTATCGATGGCGTTCACTGCAGGGCACGTCATACCAATACCCAGGCTGCTTTGTGTTGGAGTTATCCATTACAACGCAGTAGTCTCTATTAGTCTGTGGAGTTTCCAGACGGTGATAAAAGAGAAAAGCAATGACTGCAGCGTGGGAGGACCGCGTCAAACTCATTGAAATTGGATAAATTTGTATCAACTTACTCAACTCAAACAGCAAAACAAACATAGGCACGAAAGCTATTCATCTCTGTTGATTGGTAGTTGATAAGATTCTCAATTAAACTTTCATTCACAGCACCTGGTAAATGAATATTTTGACTGATCTTCATCGGCGGGATGTTGCCACCACATACACTATCCCAATACAGACTCTTGGGAGTTTATCCCCCCCCCCTCCAAACCGTACCTGCTAGGTGATGGCTTTTCGGCTGTAAAGTATGCTGCCTCAAACACAGCCGGTCAGCCAACAGTTTGGTGGTTTAGGTATGGAGATGACACTTTTACCAAAATTAAAAAAAGGAATACTCTCAGGAATGGTTGGGGGAAGGCAGAGGCAGCATACATTGGAGACTACAAACCATCACTTTATTGAGACGGTATAAATTCTATGAGTCTGCAATCCTGTGTTCATGGTGTTGGGAATCACAGGTTCCCAAGCTCAGGGAATCAACATCCTGGTCGTCCTGCTGACCAAGACCCAAGTTTTGGAGTGACTATGTTGGGAACGAAAGTTTAAAACACTGATCCTATGGTAAAGCAAAATCTTGGCTATTCCAAAGACCAAAAGAGGGACACTTTGGGCCCGAAATTTGGAAAACTGGCCAAAAGCACAAAGTCATGCCTGCACAGCACTGGGGTATAGTACGGATCTCTTCTGAAAATGACTTTGGTGTTTTCATTTGTGAATGTACAATTGACAATGTTAGGTAAACGGGATAGGAGGTACACAGTTTTTCTTTTGGCATTTGTTCTTGTTTTATTTTGTTTTCCCTAAAATGAACCGTTGAATTTTCCAGACTGATATTTCTTCTTCTTCAAAACTTGACATTTTCCTGAAAAAGTTTTCCATACTTTAAAAACAGGAGACGAGCTCAAATCCCATCCCAAAAATCACGTGCTTAACATAAAAGCTAATGCTCTTAGTGCAAACATTCGGTATCTAATGGACACAGGGTCATCTTTAAATCAACTCCTTGCTTCATGTACGTTACCAGCAGTGGGTAGCCATCCGGCTGGCCGACACCCCATCTTGTGAAAGTAGGAGTGGTGTCATCAGGCCAAACGTACAATGGGAATGAGGGAGTGGCTTTAAGCCCGATGTAAACGTCCTGACCTGCGTAGCCTCTCATCAGTGCAACGATCTGGGCTGTAAGGAGAAACAATGCACAATAAGTTCAGTCATTGCTACCAAGCACTGGCATCGTTATGCAAACTAGGAGAGGTTTTCCTGTATTCTTAGGTTTTCTGTTCCCCACTCATGACCAGACATGATGATTTGGGGTTGGACCCTCTTACAAGTGTGGTATACGGCACAAGCCTCATTAATGCTGAAGATGACGCCCACATGACCTCCGGATTTGGATAGGCAGATACATTACCATAGACTTAACTGTCCACAACTGGCGACAGAATCGATTTTCAAAGTGGGAAGGGGGGGAACCATTTGTTAGACCATCAAGCTTCAGCCATTAATAGGCCGATCCGATATGCCCCACTGACCTCAAAGATCTGCAAGACGTAGTAGGGCAATCACCCTCCCCCATTGAAAAAGTGGGCGTACCACTAGTATTGGCCGCCAGTGTTGGCCACGCCAAGCTAGATGACATACATGAAAAGGAAAACTTGCACACACAACATTTAAGGCGGTGGCGCTGGTGTGGCGCAATGCATTGCTGCTGCAGCAACGCCTTTTGCCACATCCATGCTGTACTGTGCAGACTGTTTATAGGCCTATACACAGGGGGCGGCGCTGGTTTGTGTTGGTTGCTTGCCCAACATGACGGAGACAGTGGCTGGATCCGAATCTGCTGTCTAGAGCTAGGTCTAGGTCTTCACTCCATTGGAAATGTGTGGAGACGCGCAGACAATAGACCTAGCCGTAGCTCTGGAACCCCGTTTCGGACACATTCTCAGATAATGCTTTTTGTTCTGTCAGCTGATGAGGTCACCTGACAAAGTACGGCTAGCTCACACGCAAATCCATCAAAAATCAACAGGTCTCGGCTCAAAACTGCCAGCACAGTTTATAAAGTCTGTATCTTTTTAGCTGGCTTCAATCACTGACACTGTTTCGGATGTTTGAGGCTCCTCTGATCAACAATCAATGATAATCAGACTGCTTCACTACTCTACAACTGACAGATTTCATGGCCATTTTTTCCTAGCTGGAGCGCAGAGCAGGTAAATTTTTTCCTGACATCTTGGTAAGTCCAAATATTTCCACACTACAAGGAGTCGCGTTTTCAAACATTACAAAGGCTGCTCCAAAAAGCACTTCTGCGGGGGACTTACCATGTGTACGGTAATCCTTGATGATGGCAAGGGATGCCTTTGAGTTCAAGCTTTCGCACGCATCATTTGCATCGGTCCAAGGTTTTTCGTCTGACGAGATCAGCGTCAAACACGTGTCTCCAAAGCGGTAAAAATTGTCGGGGCATTCTACACGGGAGATAACAAGATGAGAAAGAAAATACAAAAGGCTCATCTACTCTCCTCCAAACAGAGTGAGGACAAAAAATGTGAAAACTGTCAAACGAGTCCTTTGGCAAATGACAATGGTTTGGTGCTATGGCAACATTTCTTCAAAATGCAGAGTGAATAATGGCTTCCAAACATGACAGAGTTTGGACGGCATTTTCTGCAAACCACATTAGGCCAAAAGTTCACAAAATATAAACCTTGAACATAACATTCACAAAAGCAAGCAAAGCATTGATACAAGTAGAACTAACCTGATTTGATGACATCCCGAGTGGGGGGTGGTGTGGGCAAAGCAGGTTCTGGAAAAGAGAGAGTTGGAGAACACAGTCATCTAAAAGCTGCTGAAACTCCGGGGATAATTGTGCAGGTGACTGTAGAACCAATGACACTAAGACTGAAACTAGCTTCCAGTGGGATACGATGAGTATCCCTGCGGTCTCATACCGGAGCTTTCCAGCCTTACATTGGTGATTCCTCCCATTATCTCTGCTCAGATGCACTTGTCAGAATTTGCAAAACCTGTGCACCATCTATCAAGGGAAGTGATAAACAGGTATCCCTCACAGAAGATGACAACTCTCCAGGGAAGAGCATCATCAGCTAGAGCTATGTAGGTCAGCCTGCAAGCTCTTAGGCTTCAATGTGGCACTATTCAAATCACTTCAGTGTTTGACTTTTTCACGAAGAGAATTATCCAGCTCGGCGACGGATGTCGTGCAGATCGGTGTCATCAAACGTTCCAATGCTAAAAATTCTCGGCACTGAGATATAAAGACAAGAGTTCCCCTCAAAGGAATTCAGATACTGCATGTGAGTGGCATTTGGATAAGAACACTGGAAATGCCGAGTCAATTTACATTAAAAGTTATAAGTAAATTTGAATGACCAATCAGTTTGCACGATGTAATAACCCGTGCGCGTACCTGACGTACACGTCAGTGAGGAGACTAACACAAACAAATGAAGATGGGGCGCTCTTTATCAAGTAACTATAACCACCCAGTTTCTCTTTTAGGCAGAGTCTACCAACTGAAATGTATCATACACCAGACACATTCAAAGGTGAAGTGTAAACCACTGAACCTCACATACTTTTGGGAAGCTGGCAGATGTAATTGGACCTCTGGCTACAACCAACATCTTCCCACCCGCCGTTCACATCCATTCGAACGCAGTTGTTATCTGGAAATCGATCATCAGTTGGTTCCTGTGTCTTCCAGTTTACAAAGTCCATGAGGCTTCTGTCAATCCAGGTATTGAAACCTGACCCCCAAAAAGGGAAATGTAAAACAGGGTAAATATGTATCTGTACGTACACATATGAACTTTCTTGTTTGCTTGATTAAAGGACAATCAAAAATTGGTATGGCTGTCAACCACTAAAGACTTCATCTATTCATTTCTATGCCGGTATTCAGAAGGTCATTGTTTCACTATCTAGTGTTCTAGACTGATGACCATATATTCTTTTGAAAAGTAAATGTGAATATTTCCTAAAATATATTTCCGTCCACAGCCCCACCAGACCCATCAGCCCGCAGTGATCACAATCCCCGCCCACCTTCATTGGAGCGCCTCATCCCCAGCCAAACATAGACGTTGGTGCCGAGAAAGACCTTCTTGGCCTCTTCGGCGATGAAGTTGTCCTCCGCAATGCTGTGTATGCTTGGCAGCCTTCCGCCGTCGTGCTGCGTCGTGCAGATGTAGTCTCCATCGTCATGCACGATAAGGTTCTGCGTCTTGAAGAGGATGCATGAGTCCGTCCCGGGGAGTTCAACGTAGTCACCGGGACAGGTCCCTCGTTGCGGCTGCGGCTTTTCGGGTGGAGTAGCTGCACAATTGGAGAAAAATCCAGCAAACTCTGCTCACACAAGCTTAGCGACACATGATTCATCAGGCTCATTTGGGGACAGATTGGATTTTTCCATTCCACTCGGCGTCTCCCCGAGGAATAGAACGTGCAGTATGTCACCACAGAATACTCCTAAACATTCATTATTTATTGACTTGAAGTCTGATTTAAAGTAATTCCAGACATCTTTTATTCCCAGGATTACAACTTACACGGATATTCACAGAAGTAGTTTCGAGTGTCGGAGCAAGCGCGGACAGCCATGTAGCCATCTGGAGTCAGGACAACGCAACGTCCATTATTATTGTTAGGTTCATTGGGGCCCCACTTGGTGAACTCCAGTGGGAAATCGTCAATCCATTCATATGTTCCGGTTTGCTAGGAAAACAAAGAGAAAAGGCATGGCCAACAGAATGTGACTCAAAATTGCGGGAGATATGGTGACCGATTCCAACTCAAAGGGGGGCTTTTGGTGGCACAATTGTTTTTTTCTGCAACACGGGCTGTGCCCAAATATGAAGAAAGCAGGATGTCCTGGTCAGATATTCAGAAACATAGGTTGGTTTACGAGGAAATTTCATTCAAAACTATGCTATTCAGGTTTTTTTTTTCTTTTTCACGATCATGGTTCAACATATTGGTTTATCATTCCTTATGTACCTCACTGGTGAATGAGTAACCGGATAGGTCCTACAAAAAACTTTCAAGGGGTTTTAACCCTGGAGTGCAGTATATTTTATGACAAAACATGACGCACAGCAGAGGCACATGGAAGCACTGGATTTTTTTCCGTGCAGTTTTGCACTTCCGTGAATATGCGGAGAGGCACTGCACATCGAAAAAAATGTGGATCAAAGGGTTTTGGCACCAAGTCCCCAGTAACGATGTGCCGTGCCACAGTGGTAATCACTGGTAACCTGTTAATGAGTACTCACTGTAGTGCTTTGCAAACCAATCCAAGCCTCTAACGGAGAGTTGGGATACGTCCCGTAGAGAGCGGATACAAGCAACGCCATCTCATATTGGTCGCTCAGTGACAGTAAGTTCCCGCCCTTTGACTGGCAATCCTACCAAAGACAAACAAACAATTTCCCCATGTCAGGCGGAACCAAAGCGAACCCGGTCTAGGCCAAAGCATATAACACTTATGGAACTTCAAGTTCCACAAGCCAGCCAGTGAAAGACTCTCAAACCTTCCAAGTATGAGCATGACACTCCCTCACTAGAAAAGAGAGAGGGCGGCCAACATTAATACTGCAGGCACGTGTGAGCTCACGACAGGTGCCAGCAGCTTTCCAGAGGGAACGGAGTGCACCCTCCCAACAGACCTTATTTACGAGTCGACCATTTCAAAATTAAAAGTGAATTCAACTCTTCATGTTTGGAACTTGAAAGTATCAATGAGAGAATAAAGTGAAATTTCCTTTCTTTCGATACCTGACTACTACAATGAAGAACTTCATATTTGTGATGAAACACACTTTAGTGTTTTACACCAGATTTGAAAAAAAAAAGCAAGGCTTGGAACTCACATTTACCTGATATACTCTGATACAATTCCATTCAATAGTTAGCAACTTTTAAAGCTGATGCAGTGAACAAAATCAAAAATGGCTCCCTCAGGAATAAGGTCCATTGTGAACTAAGCATATTACACTGTTACATGTGACTTCTGCAACCACGTTTGTTTCATTACTTTCACGCAGGAAGATGCACGAGCTTCTAGAAGGAGAGGGGGCTGAATTCCAACCTCTCCCTTCCTCATCAGTGAACTCGACTGTCCCGAGACCAATCTGTTTGAAGCTTGACATGCATGTGGGAACATCCATGAAGTCAATCTATGAACTGTCAATTCAATCTGGCCATGGGTTTGGTGCTTCATGCTTATCTGTAGTTTATGGGGTTTTTTTCGGTCAAATTGTCTTTGTGAAATGGACATTTGGCCTGAGCAGATTGCTTTTCATGAAATTTGTGTCCAAAATGACAACACATCAGTGGAAAACCTAAGATAAACAAGATCAACAATTGCTCCCAAATCGGAGAAGGCTTACTCCAGGATTCTGCCCACCATTATTTTAGGGTTAAAGAGACCTTCAGTGTAACAGTGAGTTCAATAGACTCTCAGTTTGAGGACAGTGCCATAAAGGCTGGATTCCATATTGTCATAGTGATGGTATGCAAGACATCAAGATGCAGACAGACACGGAAGAGATGCTGTGTGGCATCATTCCACCATCAAAAACTTGAACAAAATGGCGTCCGAAACTCGGAAAATTGTTGCAGAAAATGCCTTTTTAAGGTGGTAATAATGCCTCTTGAAGCCAAACTGATACATCAGTTTGATGTAATTTGTTCATGGTCATCTATTTTGTTGACGATTGGGGCTGCATACGCTAGTTCTAAGGGGAAAATGGACAAAATGAGTGCTACTAAGCGAGAGGAACATTGCTGTTTGCCTGTCATGCCAGCGTGCATTTGTAAAGACTCACTCAACGCAGACAGTCGGCAAACTTGAACCGGACTCAACTTTGCCGATCCATCTGGGGCTGGTTTGCATATGTCTGGGTTAATATTGGCAACACTTCCCTTCTGACATGTTTCCGTACGTCTGCCTTGCAGTTTGCATCTCGATTACGTTGCTCTCTGCATTTCTTACGCTGATATGGAAACCAGGCTTAATTGAGTCCACTGTAAGTTCTTTCATGAGTCCAGTCATAAGTAACAGGGTGAACAATAACACTCATTGTCACGGTTCACTGGAATAGCTCACGAAGTGGTCCGTAAGTGCACATAACATGTAATGGACTTCACTGTAAACACCTATGATGAACTATTAAGAAAATGCTGGTTGGGTTTGCCGTGCGACGTGTCACCTAATCGAGACTTCATGCGGTTAGGCCTCCGTCTAGCACACTGTACGCGGACTGGATATCTAGTCATTCACTTACCGCTCTTGCATCGTCAAACGTACGTGGGTACGTGTTCTCCATCAGGAAACAGGTAGCGAAGTACTGAGTGTATCTGTTGTCGGAACATTTGTTGCCTGGCAGGTCAGGAGGAGTACCCCCAGGGGTGACTGAAAACAGATGCCAAGCAACAAAGACAGCGTAACGCACAAAACAAATTGTTTTCCCCAACTTGCTGGAGGGGGGGGACCACAAGTACAATACCCAAGCTCTCTTGTTAAACAGGCCGTCCCAGAATTATAAGAGCCCCAAAATGCTTACGCTGATTATTTTACCATGAACATAACAGACATGGGCTCCGTTTTTCAGTCATTCCTTTTGCCACACTTTTGGCTTTCCTGACGGAGAATGTGTGGTCATGAATGGTCAAGCTGAACTAAAGACACACCTGACTGTGTAAGACACGGTGTTTTCATACACAGGTACTGCTTCCACTGCAAGGTCTTAGTTGGGTTAAGGAGTTGCAGTATAAGCAGTTTGAACAAGACGCGGACAAACTCGCATTTACCTAACGGAGACTGGCAGAGATAGGCCCGTGGGACACTGCAGGTGACGTCATTCCATCTACCTGGATCATAAGGATTGTTCATCATCACCACGCAGCTTTGAGAATTCTGTGAACAGCACAGCCTCAACACTTCAGTTTTGTCAAGATTGTTAAGGACATACCAGGCATAAAAGTGCGGATCCCTCTTTTTGATTTAGATTGCGGTTTTTAGGATTACAGAATCCATGCCACACTTATGAATTATGGGTAGGGGTTAGTGACTCAAAAGCACAGGGTCGGGGGTTCGAATCCCGCCGTTGGTTACACATCTTGTGACCTGGGGCAATTCACTTTACTCCCACTCGCCTCTCTCCACCCGGGGGTATTAATGGGTACCTGTGAAGGTAGAGATGCTTGTTGTTGTTTGATCAGCTGTTGGCACCCAAAATAGCAACATTGAGCTACATACACCCCAGGGAACTGTGATGGTCCAATGAGCGGGGATAATAATGATGTATGGCACCTGGATCAGGTTCAAGGACGAGTGTGCATTACAAGTCCATATCAATATTATCACTTGCCTGGTGCTGTACATTAGTTTTAAAATGGACAGACAATCCATCTTTGAAATCATGCTCACAAGGAACGAATGAAATTGGATAGTTAGGCAACCTGATATTTGATAATTGGCTGGTACAGGACCCAACTCCAGTTTTTACGGTCTTAATTCTGATGTGAACTCTTCACACATACTGGCACCATAGTTCTGGGATTGTACACAGGTTGGATAAATTCATTGAGGGGACAAATGTTTGTTCCCCTGACTCAGTTAAACAAAATGAATTGTCCATTCAACGCGGGGCTGGTCTCCGCCTGTACTCATTCCCAAATCCCCTTCTGACAAAAAAATGTAGCAATCGTGGATTTGTACACAGATGAACAGCAAAGTGTGACAGAGTCACACAGGAGTAAGCACCACTTCATCAATGTAGTTCATATATTGATTTTTGTTAATAGCATGTGACCACGAAATGACGAAATTCAAGGCAGGGGTGGACATCCCAAGCCCCCGGCAAAAGGCTAACAAGGAAAACGAAGAAACGCTGGTGCTTGTTGAGTGAGGATACATTCTGTGTCATTTGGGAGCAGTCTTTGAGAAGGCATGAACTTACAGGGTCAGTGATGGGCAAGACGTTGTCTGGCTGGCCTTCCATCCAGGCGGTGTACTCCAACGGTGACTCGTCAGACCAGTGATACTGGTTGTGGATACCGATGCCGTTCAAGCCAATCCACATGTCCACACCCTCAAATGCCTTGATGATGGCTGTCATTAGTGCTAATGGAACCAAGAACAGAAATAAATGAACAGATCAAGAAAGGGACAAACACTTCGGCTTGAAATTGAAGGGTGTCCAGGAATATTGTGCTCACCTACTGGTTCGGCGCCCATTTGCAATCTAGAATTTGATTACAAATAAAATACCTTTCCTGGCAGATGCCTAAAACCTGGGACTGAAATCGAACAGCTAGAGACTTACACTGTATACCTATACAGTGAATCCTCTGAACTGAAATAAATTTCCTCCTGTTCAACCCTTAACAAGATACAGCCCAAACCTTTGGCTGCCTCTCTTTTGACACTTCTTTAGCAAATTTGCTCTTTTCTCATCTTCTTTCCCAATCCGAAGAAAGAACCAAGCTTTTTCGCACCATCTCACAGCCCTGTGGAGGGAGTGGATGCCCCCCCCCGGATCTGGACTGTCCAATGCTCCATCTTTGATTAAATTTGCATGCACGTGGAAACGCTTACTATGAGCACATCTGTGCAGTTTTGATCTAATCCAACATGGGATATTGTGGCGGTATTACTTTGCCCACGTTGGCTGGCCAGCATGCATTGTGCACAGAATATGGGAAAAGTTAGCACTTTCGCCCAACAGGGCTCAAAGAAAGTGGGGTTTATGTGTTTTGTGTGAACATACCTGCAATTTTCATGAAATTGGTGTCAAAATGATCAACGAGATATTACTGGAAAAACTCCTGGAGGCCTGACATGAAAAATGAATACCACAGCCGAATGCACATGCATATTAGGTGTGCTGAAAATTTCTGTGAAAGCTGCAAAGGCTCCAGAGAAGAATTCGAAAGCCTTGCTGCCAATTCAAGTCTCGTCCAAAGCCCAAGGGGGAGGGAGGGTGGATCTGTTAGAATCTGGAAGCTGAGGATCAGGAAAACTCCTGTCGACAATTGAAATTTTACACTGTTAATAGGCCTGACTCCAAATGACGCATTGTATCACCAGTATAGTAACGTTCTCGGAAGTGAACTGTGGATACGTGCTGACCGCAGTCAACAGTGAGGGCCCGTCGATCTGTGGTAAATAGGTGTGGTTTCCCTGGATCTTGCCAAAACCGACTACTTTGTCCAAAACCCATTGGTCTGTGGCAGGGTCAGATTCCACGTAACAGCACATACACGGCAGTGGTTCACCAATTTGAGGGCTAAGGTACTCCCCTCCCAATAAATTTTGATACAACAAACCTACATTTAACATTACTGGTTCTGATATAACCATACATCCCAATCCCTTGTCATGCAATGCGGGGGGAGGGAGGAGCTTGATTATCATTCGGGGGAAGGGAAATTTCAGTAACAGCTTCCACCCTCCTCCCGGCGGGAGACCGCAAGGATCTTGAGCTATGGTACTTTGCAACATTAAACATAAAAGTGGTGGCAATTGGCTTCAATTGTCTCATATAACCGTTGCACGGCAAAGCAGATCGGCTCCACACGTGTCGCAGGGAACAGCGGCCACATTTGTAAGTCCATTCACCAGACTTGAGCAGCTGATCAAGCACACTGTAATCAGACTGACAGTTGGCAGGTCGCTCTAGTCCATTCATTGCTGGTAAGGTATCCCTACCTTGTTGTCCAGGGTGGCTGACCGTGGCAAGAGTCCAACCCCTGGCTGCTTTACCCGATCTACAGTCGTCTCTGGCCGCGATCCAGCCCTTGCGCTCACTCGCCGTCGTGCCCTTCACGCTGTAGCACATGTTTCCCAATTTGAAGTAATTGTCGGGGCAGTCACCAGTTGTAGGATAATCGGGAAGGAGGGGTTTTGGACTGCCCTCTGTTTCTTTGCGCTTGCAGACAAAGTTCAGCGAGTTCCCACAGGCACTTGTTCCCCATTCTCCATCTGCAAGGGAAAAAAAACGAACAACAAATCTGAGCGCCACTGATCCGAGATCTGGACAAATAATTCTTAAAGGTTTGGCAGCGGGCTGAGAGGGATGTCTCATGACAAAACCCCGCTGCATAGAGGTCCCTCCGAGTCAATTCAGATGATTCAAAGTGCTTCGATTCCCGTTTGATGTACATGTAAGAAGTGCCAGCTGGTCAGCTGAAGGACATTAATGAAAACTGGAATGCGTTTTGGAGGATACCAGCCGAGTAAGTCAATACGCATGAAAGGCAAAATGAGGGAAACTGCATTGTTAAATACGAGTACAAATGCTACAATGAAGATATGCGCAAAAATGTAATGTTTCAGAATCGTCTTCACAATCAGCATCCCTGTACGCAAACAAATGTTGTCACTAAAGCCAGCCACGCATGCACTTTCCCTTTTATAAGGCTACCTTTTAGACTGTCCTGTAAGGTTACCTCTTTCCTTCCTTACACTTCAGCCTTTTTCACACGATGCAAAAAAAAACTTGCAAGGCTTGAGACAAAAATATCTAAGCGGGGATTGTTTACGTCACTATTACCTTTTCAGTCCGCTCACACGGTACAGCGCAACATTTTGCTGGCATTCCTCGAAACGCGAGCACTTATTCTGCGGGTCGATGGTAGACCCTGCATTTTATTTATGCAAGTGCTGCAAATAACAGTGCGATGCTCCCCGAGGCTCCACCGCCAGATGGCTGCACCACACTAAATATGCACCGATAAAAACAGTTCAAAATCGGACAGAAGTATCGCTGTTTGATGGTGACTCTCGGGAAGAGGTTGGCCTCCCGTTTTTTCACTGCAAATTCAAGATTATGGCCACGAGTTCAGTTCTCTTTTCAATTTTACTGGGTCTACACATGTGGAGATTTTTGTTAGCCCTTCCTTGAAAACATCCATAAATCAGTAGTACAACTGTGCACTCATCAGCTCTATAAAGCCACCTGCCTCTCTACAACACGCCAACAGGTAGGAGGTTTTTGTGAATGAAGACCCCAGAGGTGGGAACCACAAACCCCAAATACATGATTTATAGGCACATCTCTATGACCGGTCCAGATTGAGGCACCTGTTTTTGTAAATTTGTATAACCTGTGGGGATCACAAAATGTTTATGCGATCGCACGAAGTCTACCACTTTAGTGGAAGGCACCCAGCGAAGACTACGACAAATACACGTGCAGCTGAAAGTGGCGATAGCGCACATCTTCCAAATGTTTGACGCCGTATTTCCTGTTGGGATTGCACCTGTTGTCTTCAGCGCTGGTGTTGAATAAAATTCACACAATGAAGCAAATAAAGCAACAGAATTATGGCGTTGTCGGCTATACAGCAAGGTACGGTCTGCGGGCTAAAAATTTAGCTGGATATTGAAGGGCGTGTGCGCTGCTGTCACAAAGGTCGTCCTGTGTGTGTGTGGTGTCTTCACGCATGCGCATTGAGTAGACTATCACAAGGAAAGTTGTACAATAAACTGATTTTCCTTTTACAAGATCATTTCTCGAGGGTGCCTTGAGAAATCTCCGCCAGCAGCAGGTTTTGTCCATACATGTAGGTTCAGACCTCCTCCAAAATATCTCAAGGATTCACCAGGAATGCCGGTGACTCTGAAGCATCAGCGTCCTTTCACACAATGACATTTTTGCAAGATTTCTCAAGCATGAGAAAATTTCTCAAGCATTGCGAGTTTTTCTTAGCATTGTGTGAAAAGGAGGTCAGGAAGCTTTCAGCATCTTGAAAAATGAAAGGGAGTGGCGTAATTGAAGATGAGTTATGTCCAACTGCAACCCCATGTTTTGAAAAGAGATGATGCATACCTTTTAACAGCCAACCAAACAAAAACAACATGCATGAGACCGTGACAAGTTGCTCCCTCAAAAAGAGCTGTAACACGTACCCCTGATCAAGTCCTCCAAAACAAGAAATACAGTACAGCGGCGGAGTACTATTTTTTTGACCTGTTACACAGTTTATCGTTTTGTCACACCCACTACCATTTCAACAGCAAAGTCTGAGCAACAGGGGTGGCCTTGTTGTGCTCACAGAGGGCTAGAAGAGGTATTGTCGGGCGCCTTACTTTGCCAGATCAGCAGTTCCGCACATTCCTCCTCATCGGCAAGGTTGTCTGGAAGCTGATCGTTGGGGAATTCCGAATAATCGTTGATGTCAAAATCTGTTAGATCGCTCCATCTTGAACAGAACAGGAAACAAAAAAAAAATGCCCCGTACAATGAAAAGCTCTGGTATGAGAGACGCTGTGCTGAGTCTTGTCTGTGTGTAAGCCGCCCCCTCCCCTTACGAGGTGGGCAAAAACAAACACAAACCATCAAACCAGACAAGAAAATACAGGCCAACGACAATGGATGAAAGGCTCGGCCAAAAGAAGACACTTTTTCTCAAGGCAAACAGGGATTGCAAGTGAATGGGACACTTTGGGGTCGGGGTAAGGGATTGTTGACTTATTAAGGGTGATTCCAGAAATGAGGGGTCCAAAAGAGTGACATTTTTGTGTCCCTGTTACATCTGACCTTTGTTACTTGACATGGAAATATCACCGGAATTGATTTCAAGCCATTACCATTTGTTTGGCGGGTAATTTGCATTAATTCATCACTCTTGGAAATTAGAAAATGTGTTCTGAACTTACGAAGTCATGTCAGATGTGACAGGGACACGAAAAAAAATGGACCTCTATTTAAAAGCCCTGTCCACCTGTTTAAAAGAGGTGCTATTTCAGGTCTTGCTGCTGTTTGTGTCGTTCTAATCACTGCTGCTGTACCTGGTTAGTTCTTCTGTTGATATCTTGTTCTCATGATTTCACAAATTAGAGACACATGTGGGACTCACCCAAAATTGCTGTTGCCGAATTTCCGCAGACCGATCCAGTAACTCCGGGCAAAGCCATAAGACTGCCAAACGAAACAAAAGAGGATGAGACGACCCAAAGGTCCAGATGAAGTCACACACTCACGGTGACATGCAGAATGCAATCCATTTTCTTTTATTAAAAAAAAAGTTTTGTTGAAATGAAAAGGACACGTCTGTATGTGACAGAATTTATTCTTCCGCTCAGTGCCTAACTGGGACCAAGAGGTTCACTCCACACTGTCCCAATGTAATGATAATCAGTAAGGCCTGAACCAACCCACTGATTCAGACCTTCAAAAAGCCAAGAGATTCAGATAGGGCAAAAGCAGAAGCCACTTTTAAAAACCACTGCAGTATTTAGAAAACAAAAAATAAAAACCTTTAAAATCCATATTTCAATGGTTGGAGGACCCTTACCAATATTCGGACCAAGGCCTGCTCTTCTGGGTTATGAATCGATACCAGGTTGCCCCCCTTAGCTCGACAAGCATTCTCTGCCTCTCTCCAGGTCCCAGTAGATGTGGTGAATCCGGTCACCGTGCTTGGCAAGTAGCAGTAGTCTCCAATTTGGATTTCGTCGCTATTAAAAAAGTCGCCACATACTGCGTCCAACAAAGGAGCACAATATTAGGTTCCCAAATTCAAGCCCCAGTGAGGGTTTGCATGGTAGCCATCTTGCAGGGCAGTTTTCTTTTGTTCCACAGATAAACCTCCTTTGTGCATACCCTGTGGAACAAAACCACTGGTCTGCAAGATGGCAGCCATGCAAACTGTCTATAGTCTCTTTCTTGTTATCCTCTTTAACTGATTCACGTCGCAGATCCAACACAGGTGCCCAAAGTCACTGCCAGTAGGTGTGTACATATGCCAAAATCACCCCCCCCCCATTTGGTTTGTACACACACAAACTAAGCGTCCGTGGAAAAACACCACGGGTCTAATTTGAACTCAACTGTTGTACATATACACAGCTTATGGTAATAAATTTACTGTACATCATGGTACACCTGGGTATTGGCCAGGGGGAGCGGCCGCGGCGAAGATTTGGAAAACTCCCCAAACTGACTGATGCAGCATATCATGAGATATATGCCAACTTGTGGAAGATCTTGCTCAAGAAATGAAATCTAAGGAATTGATAGAAAGAACTAAAAATGCTAACTAATAGTCTTAAGACAGAACCAAACCAAACATGTAACATAGCCTTAAATAAACAAATGGTAGATTTATCATTTGAAATTAGACTTACACAACTTCTATAAATGTAATAAAAATATAGGGCTGACTTACTTCTCTCCGTGTAATTTTGCTCTGAAACAGGAAAAAAATAAGGCACATTAGTTATAATGTAGTACTTTGAACAATGCATGGGTGGATATGCACAAGTAATAAATATCCATTAACATTTTCTATCATTTTTACAATTGCTGTTCAAACACCTACGAAATAGCAGCATCAAGCTTTGTTCACAAGTCCTAGCTATAGCAGTGGGTGGGCCAAGATCCACTGAGTCCAGGCTAGGAGTCTATAGCTGGACCAAGAGAGGGCGCAATTTTCCTAGCAACAGAGGCTCCTTTGGTCAGAACTGAACTTTGCTGGTTCAAGAACGACTATGAAATACATGCATTACGGTCACAATGCTACCAACAAAATAATCACCCTCCCCATCAACATGGCTCTTTTCAACTGATGAGGGCCTCTGCTCGAGGCAGATACATGTCGGGAAGTTCAAGTCTGAGGGAAGACTGACATCATTATGTTTTAGGATTCGTGATTGTAAGTGTTCTGAAAGGGCTTGTGAGGCAGAGCTGTATACAGAGAGGAACTCTAACTTCAGGCTTAGGAACCAAAATGGCTGTTCATTACGTGTGCAGTATGGAATGGAGTGATTGTGTGCTTACGGATAATCCACCATTTTGGTTCCAACAATTGAGACAAGCATGTGGCATTTCTTTCTGTATTAAAGAACACTTCCGTGAGGGAGCAAACACGGCCATCTTTTTTGTGGACCCGAATACAAATTAGGCCCACGGGATACACACAATCTGTGTGGACATCATGCGGACTTGACCAGGCCCACACAATGCACGTTTAACATGGAGCACGCCGAGTGTGCGCAACAAATCTATTCTGGAATGTATGGTCTTTGCACGTGTGCCGAGCGCGGGCAGGAACCTGGTTGGAAAACTTTGTACCAAGCTGTCTTTCATTGCCGGTGGGGGCGTGCTACGGCTCAGGGCTGATACACAAACAGTTGCTGATTACAACCTGTTTGTACTCTGTGAAGTGTACCAATCGACCCTGACTGGCCAGTTACAGCAACAATTTCACACGCGCAATAAACTCACGTTTCGGCATCTTGCAAACGGAGTACAGTGCACTGAACTGGCAGATTTCATCGCTCCAGGCTCCAGCGCCGGCGGTCGTGATGTGCATGGTACCACAGCTTTCCAAGAGCAGGTCCGTTGGGTAGCCATCAGGCTCTCCTCTACTCCAGAAGGCGTAATTAAACTCACTGCCATCCAACCAGCCAAACGTACCTGAGAAAATGAAAAAAAAACAAGGAGAAATGCAAACACCGGTAATGTGACAGTGAAATCCAAATTGTTTCCATTCATTAAAACACTTTACATAAATCAGTGCTGCAGCTGCATGCAACTTCAATACGTCCACTACAACTTAACGTTTTCTCTTTACGCCATTTCTCATTTTCGTTGACGTAATTTTCCATGTTGCTGACCTTACATATACATCCATATTTACAGTTCAGCGAATTCTAGGAAACGTGAAAGGGTCCACACAAAATGTTTGCGAGGCCTGTTGTCGTCATTCAGTATGTAACACCGTGGACATCAGTACATTCAGTGCACCTGCTCCTGGTTCCCGCCTATTCATATCTGTCACAAGTAATTCTGCATGATGATTCTGGGACCAACTCTTCCAACTTATCAAGTTCAAAATAAAGATTACTGAATTTGAGCATGTTCAGTGTTGGCTTATGTTCACTTCCTGTCATGTTTTGTCTTTCAGGTTGCTCTTGTTGGAAGTTGGATTCCAAAATGAAAGCAAGTTTCCCAAGGGTTTCCCTCGAGTCATTGCTGAAAAATCAAATGTGGCACGCGGCATATTTCCATTGGGTTTCCCCCACTAAACTGGAAGTCTATATTTTCTAGAGGTAGAGCCCTAGTGTTACGAGTCTAAAGCCAGCAGAGTAAGAAATCTCAAGCAAAATAGCACTGCTGCAAAGGATCAAACGCAGCAAAATATTCAATGATTTCTGTGAGTCAAGTCATAAAGGTTAATTTGTCTATCTACATGCCTATTCTCTGTTTTGAGGATTTGTTAGGTAAAACTCGTTGCCTTTGTTAGCAACATCACTAAGCAAGATTCTCCACATCAGCATTGCTCATGTTGCATGCAAGTGCTCAGCAGCCAGGCATGCACATGTATACATGTATCTAAGGACAGTGTGTTGGCCATTAATCCTTTGCGAATACAATTTTCTCTCAACTTTCGAGTCATTACTATCAGTCCTAAATGTCTCCTTTATTTGGGGAAAATTTCCAATGCTCAGTAAAAGTACACAAACAAATTCAGGAGCCGAGGGGATGTCTGGTATTGCCAACTGTTTGGTACAGCGATGTTCCTTACTGTAACGTTGCACTGAAAATGTATTTGGGTATTCTTAGAAAAAATTTACCATTACTCACTCCAATCATTGTTGCCGGTCTGAGATCGTACAAGACCAATCCAAATAGAGCTGTCCATAGGATATTGACTCTGTGCTTGACTTAATACAAATTGGCTCTCCGAAGCTGAAGTGATACTCGTAAGAAAGGACCCTTCGTAACTCTGCATACATCTGCATTGAAAGAAACGGATGAATGAAAGAGGACCCATGCTTTCTCCATCCCCGTGACCCTCAAAGAACCAGTGGAGGAATCTGCCCTCCCCCTCCTCGTCAGTTTTCCCAATATTACTGCAGTGCATTTTTTTTTAGGATTTGTAGAGTAACTCTTTGCAATCATTTTGACACCACTGTTGTGAAAATCAGATATAACTTTCTTGTACAGCACATATTTGTCCGAGATGCCTCAGCCAAACTGTTTAAAGTTTTTCACTGCGGTGCTCAATGCACGCCTGCTGGCAAGCATGTAGCTTTGAATTTCAAATGACCATGTCAACAAAACTTTACGTCTGATTGAGTTCAGACTTCCCCTTTGTAATAATAAGGAGTATTTTTACAGGCATGCTACGTTTCAAAAAAATCAAGTGAGGCACAACCGAATTCCTGGGGGCAGAAATCTGAAAAACAAATTATAGGACTTTTCCAGGGCTTCCATGACTAAAGAAACTACAGATTTTTCCACGACATTTAATGCAATTTTGCAGCAAAAACTTGTCCAGTATTATTATGAACCTTACGATCTTTTCAACCTACGAGGGGGTGCTTCTACTCTGGGCAAGTAACACTGAGATTGCCAAGTGAATGGTGAATATACACTGCCTTTACCGGTAATTTGACTCGCCCCAATCTCTCTTTATGGAGGAGAAATAGTAGCAGTTTTCTTCAAATCCTACCCATCCAGTTGGGCAGGGTAGTTTCTCCAGATCAGGATCAGGAGTTGGATATGACAAACCTAAAAAAAAAACAAACAACAAAAAAGGAGACAGAATTGTATGAAGTTTTTTATCAGCTGTTCAAGGTTAGGGGACAACCAACCATTACATGTATTTGGAGGCTCTGATCAGCAAGAAGCTTTGAAAAGAGATTGTAAATGTTGCCGACATAGGCGTGTACTTTTTCAAACGATTTGCCAGATGTCTCAATTGTCTATTTCTGATGTTGATGCAAGCAATTACCAATTAAAGTGATAACACCTTTCCATCTTCTTGGCTTTGGAACTAAATCAAAATGTATGATCAGCACCAATGAATTCTGACATGCACAATATGCCACTCACATAAAATTATGCACATATTAAAATCAATTTTTCGGGGGGGGGGTTGCTGCTGTTCAGCAGATCTTTTCTAAGCACTGACAGACTGCTTTTCAACATGCTAAGATTTCTGAATCCTACCAAATCGATCAAAACGGCAGAAGTAGGCAGCTCTGTCATCGCACATGGTGTCATCCCAGTTCTTCCCATCAGTTTGGGCATGGACGCATGCATCTTTGTTTTCAGAACTGGGCTCATTCAGCCCCCAGTTTGTGTAGACAATAGGATAGCCAGTCTCCCAGCTGAACTCACGCTGCACAAAACAGCAAATAAAAAAACAACACAGAGCCACCGCAACATGAAACAACGCACAGTGCATAGTTAGAAATTTTCTCTAATGTCCACTTTCCTCCTGCTGTAACTTTTTTACTGACATGATTGACAGATTTCTTGGGTCACTTTTAAAAATTAAATTTCAACACGCTCGTTCCAGATACTCTGTATTCCCATCTGTTACTGTAATTTCTGCTTATTTCACTGGCCCCAATCAACTGCTCCAAGTTCTGCTCCAAGTTTCTATCTGTAATTTTGGTATTTCACATGTAGGTTTTCTGACAGTCTCTTAAAAATAGGCAACTAAAAAGAACCAAAAGCCCCTCAGAATTCAATACACTGATATTCCTAGCCTCATGCATCTGTTACATCGACTGACAGAGAATCGTGTGATCTCTCATTTTAACATTCCCCCCCCCCCCCGAAAAAATTCTTCAACAAAAGTGGCAGATCTTATTAGCACTTCGATTCCGAATGGAACATTAAGCTTTTTCTGTGTTTGCATTTAAATTCAACTTTGTGGCATTTTCGATTTTTGTATTTTGCTTTACATGGGCCAAAAAAACTTCACATCAATAAAAGAAAGAACCACTTAATTTATGACAAAACTGGAAGAATTAGAGCTCAGGAAATGACTCAAGGTCCTCCAAATGTAACGAGAGTAATTTTGGAATTGCTCCTCGGCACCACCTAGGTTTTGCTAGGTTGCTTTAAAGTTCAGTTAATGGTTTTTCTCATAGAGACACTTACGTCAGTTGACTTCAATCCAATCCAACCAGAATCGAGACCCAGCGAGTACATCATGGTCTCAATGAGGGCTGATTCGTAGCCGTCTAGTATCATGGCAAGATGAATCTCTTCCCCAGGGTTTTGGGCTAGAGCTTGACAAGCCGCTTCGGCCTCAGTGTACGTAGACAGTGTGTCGTTGAATCCAAAGCAGGCCGAGTCACCAAGCGCATAGAAACCATAAGGGCATCTGAGTGCTGGCGGCACACCACTACCATCAGAATTCACATCTGCAGAAGACAGAGTTATTATGACTATCAAGTCAATGACTTGATTTCATTTCCCACTCGAGTCGCAATGTTTGGTATCTAAACTCGAGTCCCTTATCAGAAGACCCGACTGGAGTGAAAGTGAACCAGACTTGAGTTCTAAAATAAAAACAAACTACATGTATGTTTAGTGAAACAAATATTTACAGTGATTTAAAATGGTGGTTTTTAGTTTTCATGCCACTTGTTAGCAAAAAGAGTAAGATGGGGTGTGACCACATGAAATAACCTACAGGAAAATTTAAACGCCAAAGAATGACATTCTCTTGTTTTAATCTTTCAGGCTGTGATCAAATATTTTTGATTCAAATTGACTCCAGCTAAATACTTGACTCGACATTTTTACCTAATGACTCAACATGAGTTACTACATTAAAATGACTCAACTCGAGCTACTATGTTACAATGACTCGACTCAAGTCACAAAAATGAGTGACTCATTACAACTGTGCCAGAAGGGTGGGAAAAGAAGAAAAGGCGATTCACTTGTGGGAAATCTTTCACCTCTGCGCCACATCCTCACAGTTTATTCAGGAAAATACCCCTCCCCCCAAAAATGCCTCTGCCTTTGCAAAACCACAGGCACAGTACAAGTATTCAGCTGTGTCAATGCCAGAACTTGACGAGTTTAACTCATACAACATTACAACCTTAAAAGGCTCCAAATGTTCCACCAACAGCTTGATAAATCTTTCATCACTTTTTTAATGACGCTAGAAAAACAGAAAAACCAATATTAGAATTTCTGGATGAGACACTGCATTTGTTGTCGCTAATTCAACTTTTTTTTATATGTCTGGGAGACTATCGCTTACATATTTTATGAATTTACTGTTATTGTCGAGTATTTGTAAGGAGTTACTTTGCCAGTTTCTTATGATGTTTACTGTTATTGTGAAGTATCCATGAGGAGCTGGTTGTAGTGCTTTTGTTCACTGTCTTTTACTGTCTCCCTTAGCCATTTTGGGGTTTCTTTGGTGTTCCTAGCAACAGGCCTAGTTTTGTGGCCTTGTGATGCTGACCCTGACAGTCATGACAATTTTTCATCGGATGGTGGTCTTGCTTGCTCGCTTTCGATATGGTCATTAAATCAACTTAAATATTTCTCTGTGAAGCACTTTGTAGGATGACTGCATTTGAATTATATGCCTCTGTTTATTATTGTAACCTTTTCATTATATATTTCTGTATTTGTAAGGGTTAATATTGAATTTGTATGTGTAAGTGACTCAGAGCACTGATGAGATGGATTATGTTCATACTGAACAATTCCATTCTTTCAGAGCAACGGGTGATCTTTATTTTTCAGTCTAATGGACATGTTTCACAAAAATGATTGATTATCAACTCTATATACATACATACATTATTTACATGAAATCATAAATTTGACTTTCAATTTTTCAAACCTATCAGGATCCTTTATCAAGTATCAGCCTAACACCCTATTAAATATGCAAATTGAGAAGTTAAAATCCATGCATATCAAAAAGACTAAAGATCTGATATTAATTTCTTTCATCCTTAAGGGATTAATATTCTTGGTATCAAAGAACATGCTGATGCTTTAAAAGAATTAAAAAGAACTTTGAAAAAAGGAATAAACCCATGAGGGGCAAAGTCAAACAGTGTTTGTAATGTGGATTACTGACTTGAGATGCAATTTTTTTTAAACTGGAGACTGGGCTCGGAGAAAAAAGATTTGCAAGTTGATCTTTGACTTGACTTTGAATGACAAGACTCAGGACTGAACTTAAACAAACTAGTTGATGACATGACCGACATTTGTTGAAATAAAATATCAAAAAATACTTTATGTGATCAGTAGCACTGGAAAATATCTTGGCATCGTGATGAAATTAATTAGGCAGACAAGTGTTTTGTCACATCATCAATAATGCAATAGATATTTGATGTCAAGACATGGGACAGAGAACTTCAAGAGTTATTGTGTGACTTGACTGGTGGAAAAAAAGACTCGCTTGGCTATATCCAACCATAAATGTTATGGGGAGGGCAAGCGGGGTACTTGGTCCCTTTAAAAAAAAAAGGGAAATTGAAAAATGGGAAGGGGGAAAGAAAGTACAAGTATACAAAAAGAAGGAACCGGGATGAAAATCACCAATTCACTTCAACAATATGTCAGATGGACCCCTCTTCACCACAGGTATACGATTCGTCGATTTGTTCCAGATGATTGCTTTGCTATGCCCACCCCCACCCCCAAAGAAAACAATCTTGGTGACGGCCTTGTATCGGACTGCTCGGTTTGTTTATAAAAATGGCATCACAGTCCAACTAACTTGTGATATTCATGCATACCCAGCTTAGACAAACCTTTGTCCCAGATAGTGTCTGCTGGGTACACTCTCAGTGACAGTGATCACTGAAAATAGGAAACACAACAGTGAAGTCTTCAACACAGCACCCCCCCTGAAGTTTGCACTGACACTGTGAGAGGTCTTTAAACACAGCCGGCTACAAGAAGCCAAACAGGGCACGGACAGCATATTTTTGAAACAGGGTGAAGTACAAATCGCAACCTACCTAGATCCATGCTGCAGATGTATTTGTGGGGTTCAGTGCAGGGCACATCATACCAAAACCCAGGCTGTCTCTCATTTGAGTTATCCAACACAACGCAGTAGTCTTCATTAGTCTGTGGAATATCCAGGCAGTGATAATTGAGAAGGAGTCACCGAGTGCTGTAGCACAGCTGAGTTGGGGCAATTGAACTTGATGAGTTAAGTTACTCGATTCCAAGACAATGTCAAAGACAATCAAGCCAAAGATGAGATTTGTGACTCATCAGGTCAAACACTCAAATGGCCAAATTATTCACTTACTTCAGCATAACACTTTGAAACAATCTACTTCTTTTCAAACTTTAAGTTGAGTTTCTCGCCATCAGGTAAAATAGGTTCAGGTCTGTCTTTCCACTCTCCCACATTCATAGGCCATGCTTGCTAAACGAGACCTTTCTGGGCAGCGCTTAATAAAATCAACTACATGTACATGAATGTACATGTACACGTAGCTGGGAGCTCCAGGAACATTGACTGCATTCTAAATCACTAAGGAAAGGGTACACATTTCAATCTGTAAGACCAGTCATTCATGTGAAGTGAAAAACAAAATCAGGTACTCCAAGGAAACGTCGCATGCCAAAACTTAGAATAATTTCCGTTACTTCCAGTTTCTTCACCTTTGTGATCCAAATGTCAAAATACTACTATAAACACATCAGGCAGTTGAATTTGTCTTTATGAAAAGATTCTCTGCATCAACAAGTATATTTCAACCACCTATCCAGGATTGTTTGGTTTTGTCACAACCAAATGACGAACAACATAATAAAAGTGGATCTGCAGTAACATTAGATTCAAGTAAGCAACACCATAGACCTCGCGCAGTAGCCCATATGTAGTAACTGCTTGTCTGGCCTTATCTACAAGAGGTACTAGAAGAGTGAATGTTCTGTGCATGTTGGCACTGGGTACATCCAACCAACTTTCACCAGAATGTGCTCAAGGGCAGTCTCTTCAGACAGCAGATGGATACACAGTGAGCATCACGTAGCCTTCAACGAAGTCCATACATACAGCATTTTGCTTACCATGTGATTACAAAAAATGTTCTTTCCTAGACCTATACATGGAAATAACTCGGGCGTTTGCATTTGGAACAGAGACGGTAAATCATTTAATTGTCAGTCTTATGTTCCAGCTCATTACTTTGATGATGTTACATAATCTAGCTGCCTGAGGATGATTACAAGTCAATGCTTTATACGGTTTTTAGCTCATAATGTTTGCTGTGTACAGAAGCTCTTATATTGACATATCACAGGAACTAAATCATGAAATTCAAAAACATGCATTACAGGCTTTCAAACAATATAAATATGTCCAATAAAACACATCCGACAAAGGGTCATCTTTACATCAACTACTAGCTACATGTACATTACCAGCAATGGATAGCCATCTGGCTGGCCAGTGCCCCATCTTTCGAAAGCAGGATTACTCAGGTCTGGCCAGAAGAAGAAAGGATTACTAGGGGTCGCCTTGAGCCCAACGTATATGTCATCACCTTTCGCACTCCTCATCATAGCGACAATTTGTGCTGCACAGACGAACAAACAAAACAGGTGGCGTTAATTGACAAGGACAAAAAAAAGCAACAGTGTCCTTTGAATAGGGAATTCAAATTGTTATGTTTAGTGCAATCAGAAACTCAGTGTAGCAGATTTTATTCAATGTTCAACTCGAAAAAGGCTTATTGAGGGAACAAACACTTTTATTAGGAAATTTAGGACTGAGCTGAATAGAAACAAAAATTTGTCCCCATAATCAAATTCCTTCCCATTGCTCTTCCATTCAACCCACTGTGAAAGCAGGTTAACTTTTCCTGCTATTAGTCTAGATGAACGCAGCATATCAACTTCAAAGTTGGTAAATCATCCGTCCTCGACTTGAGCACCAGTGTCTTTAAGAAGTGTATTAAAGTTAGACCCCACAAGTCAAAGGTCAAGGTCATGATTAAAATAACATGGTTGTCTAGATGAATTTTGGCTGGGCTTATCGTTTCTTTTGGACATGATCAACACTTCAAGCCCTCAAAATCTTCTCGACCAAAGAATTCTATTCTTTCCCCTTTTATCTTCTCGTTAAATTCCTAAGTCCACATCCGAATTCAAAAGATGCAGAATTTTAAACAAAATTTTCACATGCGAGTAAAGTTGTTCGACAACATTAACCCTAAAAGAACCATGGGGTAGAATCTGCCCCCTTTCTCGGCATTTTTCTGATACTGCCGCTGTGAAATTTTTTCGGGAGCTGAGCCTTTCAGAGTTTTTAGAGTAACTCTTTATGGTCATTTTGACAAACAAAATTTTGATCATACTGTTCTCCAAGTTGCTCATTGACTACATTTTTGAGACAGGTCAGCCCAAAATGCTTACTTTGTCCACTGTGGTGCTCAATGCACATGCTGAAATGCATGTAGCCTTGAACTTCAAATGACTGTAACAAAAATGTAAGTACTCTAAATTCAAATTTTACATTTATAATGATGAGGCAGCCTTTACATGCATGCCATGTTTTAAAAAAAATTGGCACAGCCGAGTTTTAGTGGGGAAGATTCTGCCCCAAGGCTGTGAGATGGGCCAATATAACCTGACTCTTTGAGGGTTAGCAAAGAATCGAACTTCAAAATGGCAGATTGTGGGGGCGAGTTCACCTTGCACGCGGTAGTCCTTGATGGTGGCAAGAGACGCTGATTCGTTCAGTGCCTTGCAGTCAGCATCTGCATCATCCCAGGATTTTTCAGTGTTTCTAATCAGACTCAAGCATATATCTCCAAACATGTAAAAATCGTCCGGACAACCTACACACGAGAGCAGGACGAGAAGAAAGGTAGAGTAGACTTGCAAGCAGTCAATTTCACAATCTGATTTATTCAGAAAGCAGATGAAGAAAATCATTAAATGGGTTCACTGGAGATATACATACGATATACATACATGTACATTTTTTGAACAAGCATGTGTGCAGTGCGCATATGTTCCACATTCGTGTCTTGAAATACGGCACAGCCAATGTACGTCACAAAATTTGACAATCTACATAGGACTTGAGAGAGACCTTTCGGTGGTTAGTATACCATGGCTGACTATCAGTTCGAAAGCAATTGATGAAGGAAAATTTACAGTGTGTTAAATCTCTGTAAGGTCAGTAACTTTACAATTAGCACAAAAGGCAATGCCTCCCTCTACTGGGGGGCGATGAACATTTTGAAGCAAACCCCATGACCAGCCAACTTAAGGGGGTAAACTTTCTAGAAGAATTTTACTGCCATACTAGGTACAAGAGGTAGGCAAAAAAGTTCAAATTCGGCAAGTTTAAAGGACCCACAGAATTGCCATTTTTTTATAAATTTGTTTTTCTATGTTTTGCTTTGCCATTTTAAATTAAAGGGTAAGCAAGCTGTTTTATGCTAATGTGAATTTCAATATCCATTCATGAGCTGAAGCATGTCATTCTGGGCAGTTACTTTAATCAGCACAAAAAGTTGCAACAATTTTGGATTTCACCATCGTAAGTCTACTTTTCTTTAGAAACTCATTCACCATTGCTGTGCATATACACAGCAGCATAAGCATATGAGCAAGGTTCACTCTCTAACAAATGTTTTCAATTAGCAAGCAAACTCTTGAACCCAACTATTACAGCATATCATGACAACAGCACCCTCAGTTGTCCCTAAAAGCATGAACAATTTGAAATGGTTCAAAAGAAATGCACTTCTAAATGAAATCTTCAATAAGCAATGTCCAGTGTTTTTTCATTTTCTCCCAAAGAGGAGCTGAGGACTTCGAAGAGTGGCAATTTATAGAACATATATGTGTAATGCCCAGGACGGTCTAGTCGCCAGGTCCCTTATTGTGAAAACCAATCAGACTAGACAGGTGGCGAAATTAGAAACCTGTGACGATATACAGTAACAGACATCAGACTGTTCATTTCATGAACCCTTTAAGGTCAATATGAAAAGTTCCAGAAAAGATCATCTTTCTGGACGAAATTTGCCGCAGCTGCGAGATTGAAACGTACATCCTATCCTTCCAATGTGCACTTCATGGCAGTCTAAATTTTATACAAACGGGCAACAGACGTTTCTCTTCTCAATGATAACATTAGAGTGCCGTTTCTTGAAGTGTTTTGAAACATTGCTACATGTACCAATCCACGTTGACTGCGAACCAAAATGTTTGGACTTTGTGGGTATTGTATGAACAATAACCAGCTTAATAATGAACATGTGCACTTCCTTTGTTGTATTTGGTCATTCTGAAATGGGCAAACTTACCTATGCTGTAAACCTGTGGCACTGTGGATGAAAAAAAGAAACAAAATCATTAATATTGTTTACTATATAAAGTACATATGCATGTAGGGCCTACAACTACTCCTTTTCTTGTCAAAAAAGCCTTATTGCAGATACTGCATGGGTGATTTTGCACAATGGTAGAAAGGCTATCCCACAATGCCTTTCTAGCATTTTTCCTTCCCACAAAGCCTTTCCACCATTGTGCAAAATCAATCACACGGTATTTATTAGGGATGAATTTGGCTTACAAAAAGACGGAACTATAGTCACGATAGTATTGGCAGAGAAGGGTGTTTTCAAACTGCCAAAATCCACACTCATGACATCAAACTAGTAGGCATGGGCCTACTTGCTGGTTCACTGTTTTGTTTAAATTTACCAAGTTTGCACCAAACATATAACAAAAATGCAAACAGAATGCCAACAACTGGCAATCTTTAAGCCTACACGTACTTCAGCTTTTAGGCCAATAAAAGTAGTTTTGTTTCTCATCAGCACCCACATGTGATTTTGGCTCCACATCAAAAAGTTTATAATTCATTATTTTTGAAAAAGGGGCAAAAGTCAATGGAAAATCCCACTCAACATCGAAAGTTACATTCCAGCAATTGCAGTCTTCAGAACACAAAAATTCTTGAGCCCAAATGCCCGTAGGCACCTTGTCAGCATAGCGGGGCACCCAATAGCTTTTTATGCATGTAAAAAGAATATTAGGCTTATTTTGTCATGATATGAATGATGAATAATGAAAAAAAAACACCTAAATCTGAAAAACCCAGACAAGAAAAATCAAATTTTATTGGCCACAGGGCAAAGTGTAAGCCAATGCCATTGTCAAAAGGTCCTGTAACTGTCAGTTGTTGACGTCTTTCAAGCTGGTGAGTCCAGAGTAGTATCTTTTGCAGCTTTGGGAAGTTTAGTAAACAACTGCAGGACTGAGAAGTCATTTGGGGGACAAATATCTTATTAAATTGGCAGTCAAAGACATACATTACGCAGTACATGTATCAGTTAATGGGTAAGGGGCGTCAAAAGTGGACAACTCCTCTTATTTTCTGCTAGCAGATTTTGGGGATTTTGGACTTTGCGTAAAGCATTTTCAAAAAATGCAAATTTCCATAAGCAAAAACTTGCATTTTACTTCAACAACTCTCGTGACACTTCAAAAGTGGGCAACTATTGAACTAAAAAGATCAAATTTCCACTAGCAAATTTTATTTGATGCTCCAAAAAAGGGCAACCCCATTTTTTCTTTTTCTGCTAGTTTTTCGGGTTTGGGGAATTTGCGTAGAGCATTTTCAAAAACTTTATTTTCTGCTAGCAAAACTTTGGATCTCATAATTGGATCTCATAGCATAATATTAAAAGTGGACAACTAAACTCCAAATGTTTGCTAGCGGGAAATTGCACTTTTTGAAACTCTCAGTTTCAGCTCTCCGTACTGAAAACACTGCTTTTGTTTCTCCATGGTACTACACAAGATAGTTTACATACATTTACCTATCCACGCCTTTCATAAATACGCTGTTTCTAATGGATAAGAAGCTTAGCTTAGAACCAGCCCAAGTTCAGAAATGGTGATCGATATGCAAAAGTCTCGCTCGTCGCCCCTGGCCGGCCGGCCGGCCGGCCCTGCGCTGCAGCTGCGCCCGAACAGGGCCAGGGCGCTGGGCATGGGAAGGGCTGATGGCTTTGCACTGTGATTGGTTACTTTGTGCACGACCTATGACCGAGAGGTTATCACTTCCTGTTAGCAAAGACTGAAAGAGTGATTTGAATTTTTGGGGTTCGTTGGTCAATGGCAATGGTTAGACACAAGCAACGTCGGCTATATCATAAAAAACATTTCCTTGATACAATCACAGTGTTGTGGCACGACGCAAGGAAGCCGTCGTGCCGTCGCGTCGTGTAGTTGCGTCGCCTGGATGGAGGCTAAAGAGAGAGAGAAATGTTTGTCGTAAATAGTACACCATATGTAACACATTGAGCGAGCTCGCGCGCCTAGCAGGAAATTACCCACATTGCCTTGTGCGTCGTTAGCCGTATGTGTCCCCCGTGTGACGTATTTCCTTCACTAAAACCCGTGCAAAGCCATCAGCCCTTTGATACCAGCCCGTCTGCCCCGATGAGCGAATGCAAAAGTTTGCCCCGGATCATGAGGTAACCGCTCCGAGCGGGAACAAAGAGGGCGTGTTTTTAAATACAAATTCTTAATTTGGTTGGAACCATTGTCTTTATTATGGAGATCAACGGTTGGAACCAAAGATGGGTAATTCGGCCATAAAGATGTTATCATTAGGGGCGCCATTCGAGTGTGAACGTTAATGAATGTGTGTGCGTGCCTGTCGCGGCGCTTGCGCCTGTGGGTGCAGTGTCCCAATTCAAGGAAAATTCTCCGCCAGGCGGAGGCGCAGAAAAAGTACCCCCCAGAGATTGTTTCAAAAAGAGGGGTCTGTTTGGGCCAAGAAATGGTGAGATTGTGTCAGTATAGCCCAGGATCATCTCTGTAGATTCAGGGACACCCATCTGGGGGCAAAGCAGACAAAAATGGGATTGAAAATTAGTCAGAAGAGCCCCAAGAAGGTGAGGGATGTCATTTGAAAAATGGCCGCTGGGAAGGCTTGGCAACATTCACTTTTTGGGGGGTGAGTTTGTTTTGGGCGGATAATTAAAAAAATCATTGGTT